TTGTCTTCTATGAATCAGTTGAAATTTTGAAAGTGGTAGACTGTTTTGACCGATATTGTTTGAATATTTAAACATAAAAACCTAACTTCTCCCACATAACATTAGATCTCACTTCAGGAAAAGACCACTACAAACACACACTTGAAGACTAAAATTGAAACATTTCCAAGTGTTAAATACTAGCTTATAGCACAATGCTTGTTTTGGTTAATGTTCCAACATGTATACGGCAGCTTACCAATCTGATCAGCCTAGCAGATTATAAGTGAGCTGAGTTAAAAGTTCATCTGGATAAGGTAGAGTCAATCTCTGAATAGACTGGTCCTTTGCCCCACAACTTAAGTTTGGATTAGTCGATCCTCCTCAAAGATAATAAATAAACGTGGTAACATTGGGTCCAATGTTTGCAGAGATCTGGATTAATCAGATAAAAAAAAAAAAATGAACTATTTTTATTTTATTTCTGATAGTGGCTACTGACTACAGGCAGTCGAATCCACTTTCTAATTTTATTTCATTTTAATTTTTAATATATTTTTTTTTAAATTTAATATTTCAATGTACTGAGCACACATATTCAAACAAAATCCACATCTGCACTTAAATAATCAGTTTGCACATATTATGTAAACAAAATATTTTGCCGATCCATTAACGCTTACAATTAAGCATTAACAAAAACTACATACAGTGTCAAGCAAACAATTAGTGAGTGAGTGAGTATGGTTTTTACGCCGCTTTTTTTAGCAATATTCCAGCAATATCACGGCGGGGGACACCAGAAATGGGCTTCACACATTGTACCCATGTCGGGAATCGAACACAGGTCTTCGGCGTGACGAGCAAACGCTTTAACCACTAAGGCTACCCGACCGCCCGTCAAGCAAACAAAGGTTTATGGATAAGATTATACTGTATTATACTGTAATAGCGACATTTCAGTATAGATCCTTATACCATTGTCCGATGGTGTAAGGATCTATACCAACGTCGCTATTACAGTATAATAAAGAACTTCACTGTTGTTATCAATAGTTTTTGTCTACTTTGTCATCCATCAACTTCTAACAAATACCCATCAAACAATTCACTAAACAGTCGCAGGCAAAGCTCTAACCGATGTAGACATGTATGAATGACATGTTTTTGTTAACAATCAATAAACAAACATGACAACGAAGTAAGTACTCAATGTATTCTTCTGTAGCGTGGGCCCGAAGGTCAACACTAGAGGTATTTAACCATTTCATCAAGTGTTAAATGTGTAAGCTACTTAGTCTGTAGAGTCAGAATTGACATAATGCGAGTTTAGGGGTTAAGAAGCTGTTAATGCATGTAATAGAGCTGTGGTATGCTTGGATTACAGTACATGACAAGGGATTGTATTCAGATTTTTTCCCTTACTTATCAAACGCTTCAACAATGATTCCACTAACGAGAGTTTCATTCCCTTGGTAATCTGTTCATTGCACAATTTCTTACTTTGCTTGCAAAACATTTCAAATCATATTTACTGAAAAAGTGAGGGTTTTTTCAAAGACAACCATTTAGTCATGTTTATTAACCTTTTCTACTTTTTGCTAACAGATTTGTTTGTCCTGGTCAGTAAAAGAGCCAAAATAAACATAAACAGAGAGATTTCAGATTTTTACTTTCATTTTTGTGACTATGTTGTCATGTGTGCAGTGTTTGTTAAGCTTGTGTTGTCACCCGATGCCTTATAGTGTTTGTGTGAATAGTTATATGTGATGTGAACACTGCAAGTTAGACTTCGGTGATATGAAAAATAAAACTTTTCACGTTTATCGTTTTCTACTTTTTATCTTTTTCGGGACAGCGGAATGTCCAACCAATTTTTCATAAATAATTTTGCGTAATTAATGTATGTATTAATTATCACATGGAATAAGCAGCAGTTCAAACAGAGAAGTTCATGTTTTGTTTGAGTGGCTAAACTTGGACCAAAAGTAATTAAAATTTATTTTAGAGGGTTTATATTTTACCTTAAATCATAAAATTTGACACAGAGAAAAATCCTGACAGAAATATATTTTAGATTTAGACGAATACATTTATGAACTAAATGTCATGCACAATTTCTTGTAGAAACAAAAGTCAAATATTATTTTCGTATCTGACAACTTTGACCAATCAGAAGCAGGTCACTTTTACATCGCTGTCACAACATTAACATATTTCTGCCATCTACTAGTTTCATTAAAATTCAATCGTCTTATTCATTTAGAAGTTTTGTTAAATTCACACACCCTTACATGCATATCACAACCAAATCTCATTCATAGAGACGCCAGGCCTTATATATTCAATAAAACAAACTAACAATCGCCTGAATTCCTTTCTGATCACCTTCTCAACTCTAGCAGCCCCTACCCATCCCTTTCTCTACAATATTAAGACTTTGGAGTCCCTTAATAATCAAAGGTTTGTTTATAGAAATATGGTTATATAGCCTAATACATAACTGTAGTTCAGTTAGATTGTTAGTCTAATCATAAACATTCCAGGTCATAGTACACCCTATCGCCTGATGTAGGGAAAGTCTCTGTGTGGAGCTGGGTCTTGTGAAATAGCCATAACAACGTCTCAGGGTCAGTGATGATAGCATGACACAACCACCCCCTGTTGATCGTCAGCCACTCATTTATTTACACAGAATTCCCAAGTAAGATAGGGTCAGCTTATTGATGATAAACTTTGGCTCTGTGTGTAAGGGAATACAGAAATGTCAACCCACGGTGAAGCACAACGTGAAATCTATGCCGTCAATAGCATGTCTATGCTGTCGTGTTAACTTGATATAAACATGAGCTTATATTTTGTCAATATTGTTTTCAGCAGAACTTTTTCCTCAAGTAGACAGTAAATATTAATAGGCAAAATAACCTTGTGGAAAGTCAATTCAAGTAATTGTGTGAGATATTTCATTTGTCCATATTATTTCATCAATGCTTCTTGTGAATTGACAACTTGAACATAACGAACAACAATATCATGTGATTAATCCCTTCAAGGGATTATGAAGGGATTATTGCATTATCAAGCAATAAATGTTGTTAATCAAAACAATACTGTCAACAATTTTTGATAAAGCAAAAATATATTACAGTAAAAATAAAATATTGAGAAAAGTGTACTTCATAGCAATAGTAATAGTGGTATTATATTCAATTACAAACTTTAAAATAAGAAAATGTACAATTTTAAGGATAAGAATTTTTGGTTTATTGTACATGTATATAGCAACATTTCGATGTAGATTATTACACCGTTATCAAGTTTCATAACTGTGCAAGAATATACATCGAAACGTCCCTGAAGTTGTATGTTTTCTTACACACCAACTTCAAGAATGCCAATCAAAGAGTTACCGTATTCGACGTAATAAGCGCCCAGGGCGCTCTCAAAATTAGAAATAGGGGGTTCTTATTAGAATGTTATTTTGGTGGAAAAAAACAGAATTGAAAGATAAATTCCGTGGCTTATGCTGACAGCCTGAAGCATATAGTACACGAGTGCGTATTATACGCGAATAAATAAGTATTGTGTACATTGATCAATCGGAAGGGGTGCTAGTTGGGGTTGTTCACTGGCCAAAATATTAGCAAATATCGCCGTGGGCGCTTATTAGAGCGGGGCGCTTATTACGTCGAATACGGTAATTAAAAATAATAAGATTATTTACGATACATAGACATCATGTTGTTTCTTTCTCTATCTGTGTGACATAATAATTTGCTATTGATGAACAGGTCATTCAGTGTAACGTAGTTATGTACATAGCAGAGACTCAGACAGGAAACAAATTGATTGGATCTCCCACAGACAAAAACACACTTAGTATTCCTGCAAAGTTTAACCCACCCGGACACAATGATTGTTGGTAAAAAATAAGGTACGATTATGGAATCTGTTCACCACCCAATAGCATCAAAAACAAGATATATCTCAAGAAAGAAAACTTAAGTATACAAAGTTCATATTTATGATCCTCAGAATAGGGTAGGTTACCCCCAACTCTATCCTTAGCCCTTGGATCCTTGAATAAAAATAGTCGCGAACATATTCTATAGGGACTTCAAAAATAACTGTTGTTAACTTTTTGGTGGAGATGAAGACAAAAAACATGTTCATTTCAAGAGAACACATGCCCAGCTTGCAACTCACTTGCGCCACATAAAATCGGTTACACAACAGCCAAAAATAAGTTTTATACAATTACTAGTCTACAAACTTTGCTCATTTGGGCAAATTGAAAAAATAGTTTTTCACTTTGGAATCATATTCTTGGTAACAAAACAAATTTGATGTCAGCCTTACATGTTACAGATTAAGCAGTGATTATATCGATTATATATTTGAGTGTAATAAAATAATACAAAAATCAATATTGGACTGAATTCCTAAGAAAATCTAAAAAATAAGTAACTTTCATGAGGTGGTCAAGAACCAGTTGACAATGAGACTTTCAAATTACAATTATATATGAATGCAGAAATATTTAAAAGATGAATGAAATGATTTAAAAAATGTAACCGAAAATAGCAAATAATAGGATATACCGTATTCGACGTAATAAGCGCCCAGGGCGCTCTCAAAATTAGAAATAGGGGCCCTTATTAGAATATTATTTGAGTTGAAAGATCGTAAATTTCGTGGTTTATGCCGACAGCCTGAAATGTTTATATACGACAGATATATTTTTCCAGAATTTAATTGCCCATAATTAAGGGTGCATATAACATACGAGTGCGTATTATACACAAATAAATAAGTCTTGTGTACATTAATCAATTGGAAGGGGTGCTAATTGAGATTATTCACTAGCCAATATATTAACAAATATCGCCGTGGGCGCTTATTAGAGCAGGGCGCTTATTACGTCGAATACGGTAGTTTAAATGGAATATTTTAGGCTTCATCAATATGAAGGTCAGGAGCAAAACAATATAAATAGATAAAGCTCTCTAATCAATACTCACAGCAGACTTGGCTAGACGTCTTCGGCACCATTTAATATATTCCAATTTAGATATCATGGCACCCTTTCCACCGTTATAGAGGTACGGTTCAATTTCTCGGCGAGCTATTTCTTCCACAAGTTCTGGGCCTCCCTCATTGTATGCAGCAATCAAAGTTCCCTTGTTGTTCAAAGTGATGTACTTGTACATGGGGTTTTCCTCGCTTTCCTCGTTTTGTTGTTTCCATGCCGAGTCTGGATCCTCCTTCAGTTTTCCATGACAAGCGTTCCCCATGATGATGATGATGATGCAAAAATTTTGATTCAACGGATTTCCTTTTTTTCACATGCTTTGATGGAATTTTAGTGTTAATAATTCTAACTGGTGTCAAGTATTTTCTGCTGGTCTTTCATGCTTGCTTGTTCTGAAAACAAATATATGAAGAATGGATTAATAATAAAATAATTATTATAATAATGAACTTAATTAATGAGTGCATTTGATTGTTGGCTCTTCTAAAATTTATTGATAATGCAAGTTTTCCCCCAAAATACAACTTTTAACACTTTCATGCTTAAAATTCTAATGAAATTTTTTTAAAGTGTACATTATCACATGAAAAAATCACAGTTCAAATGGTCTCTGACATAACTTTCTCAAAGGAATCCAACATAAATTGCTTAATTTCTGAAAAATATTTGCATTTAAATTTTTTCACTTTTATAGTTATCATATTGTCCAAATTTAAATAAAATGGATTCATCAGTTAAGTTTCTTTTAGACTTTTCCATATTTGTAAATTGTTAAATCATTTATACGAATTGGCAAGGTAAATTGGTTAATTTCTTTGAAATGTTTGCATGCTATAATGTCTCTATTAGCCTATACATCATCTTTACCGACTTTTGATAAAATCTACGGATTTAACAAGTTTCTTTTGGACTTGTTAAATCATGTAAACCGGTGTAAAGTCATTATTACTACAAGCTGTAAACTCAAGAAACCACCAGTGTTGTAAATCTCACAACCACTCCTTGGTGATAACGGGTCTGTTTAGCTGTGTCAACAATCGCACACGGAGCCTAATGAATCAAGTGATGCATATCTAGCGCTCAGGAGGTCGAAGCGTCTGTTAGCAACGGTTTTCGAAAAGGAGAAATCGAAAAGTACATACTGCCATGCACTCTTATTCAAAAGACAAATTGCTTGTTTCATACTTACCTATTTCCACCCCATTGTCATTTTACATGGGACTCCGGTAAGTGGTGGTATATCCAATTATCCTTGCACAACTTAGGACCCATAGACATGCCTCATCGTAGCCATACGGTTCATGACGTCAAGTCACGTGACTTACCTAACACGACGGAGTGAAACGGAAAAACAGGTGCCCCGTTAGGGGGCGTCTCATAAGTAAATGAGTTTCAAACGACCAACAATTGATTGCTGTCTTTTTATGTGACCTAACACGCATCCAGCACCTGCATGTCTTATGAGGATCGTGCGATTCTTTTCAGTCGTTTGGGTTTTCTGAACTAGACTCGACATCTTACATGCCACAGACGCAGGGTATATCCAAGAGACGCATGACAGTCATCAGACGCGGGGTATTGAAAACACGCCAGACAGTCAACCGACGCAGGGCATCCATCAGACACCGGACAGTCAACCGACTTAGATTCTGGACAAATCAGATTCTGCCTCTCGTATCACTTGCATTTGTTTAAAACAAAATGGCGGCGCCCAGTCAAGACGATCTGATTTATAATCAAGATCTATATTGTGATAAAACGGGTCTTACATCGCGGTGCATCAAGTCATGTGAGCACCTTGATAAAAAAAAAACATGACAAGATTAGGATATGTTGTCAACGACTTGGCGGTGCTATTGCTTTGCAAATCCTGTAATCGACCGAAATCTGCACGACGGTTTACGAACTGGATTTCGATTTCGTTGCGCGATTTTGATTGGACTGTGCATAGACTCGTTAGTCCAGCCAAACTGTAACTCCGTAATACCAGCCGAGTTCTGCAAGGGTGGAAACTGGACTTTTAAAGTAAGTTAACTCTCTTGCCTTGGGAAGATACACATCCAACAGACGCTATACAGTCAACATACGACGTACATTCAATAGACGCCAGACAGTCAACAGACGTCGTACATTCAATAGACGCCAGACAGTCAACAGACGTCGTACATTCAATAGACGCCAGACAGTCAACAGACGACGTACATTCAATAGACGCCAGACAGTCAACAGACGTCGTACATTCAATAGACGCCAGACAGTCAACAGAAGACGTACATTCAATAGACGCCAGACAGTCAACAGACGTCGTACATTCAATAGACGCCAGACAGTCAACAGACGTCGTACATTCAATAGACGCCAGACAGTCAACAGACGTCGTACATTCATTAGACGCCTTACATCCAATAGACGCCGGACAGTCATCAAACGCCGGACATCAAATATACGCCAGACAGTCAACCGACACACGGCATCGAATACAGGCCGGACATCCATCAGACGGGCCTCCAGTGGACGCCGGACAGGTCGGACAGTCAACAGATTATAAAGCTGGACGCCGTACTTCCAACAGACGCCGGGCCGGCAACAATAATTTGGAAAAATGATATTCTCGGGGTACTTATATGCTCAGTTCTCCAAAACCTGGAAAAACTGTTGGCTATCATACCAGTATTAGTCTATGTTCCTCGGCAGGTGCTGCTATAATAGACTGAGGGGCGGTGGGGTAGCCTAGCGGTTAAAGCGTTCGCTCGTCACGCCAAAGGCCTGGGTTCCATTCTCCACACAGTGTGGGTACAATGTGTGAAGTCCATTTCTGGTGTCCCACGCCGAATATTGCTGAAAGCCTCGTAAAACCCAACTCATTCACTATAATAGACTGATAGTAAACTGACAAGAATACTATCTTATATTTTATTGCATTGATTCCCTTTATTGTGGTACCATGCTTTATGTTTATAGCACAAAAGGCAAGATGGAGTCCAGTTGCTTCAATGTCTGCTGAATACAGTGATAGAAACTAACAGTTTTAGTCCACTGGTCCTTATAACGATAACATATAGCAAAACCCTTAAAATGGCAAATTTCTATTAGTCCTTATGACACCTTCAATTTTGGGCCGTTTGGCAAGGACTACAGGACGAGTGACAATTTCTAACACCGGAGCATCAATGCTTGTAGAATATCTGAACAGATTTGGATAAATTAAATTGTGACTTAACTAGCCGTTAATGGAGCTCAAATAATACTAAAATGCATTTCAAATAAAAAAATGTGAATCTTTCCTTGCAACGTCATTTTAGCAAGTCAGTCGCTGAAGAACGCATATTATGAATGATGAAATATTTCCTTGAGACAGCCATCGTTCTGTCCTGTTTAACTGACGCAGGCGATAACAGGAAGTTATTTTCAGTAAATACAACATGGCAGCTCTAAGCCCGTGTGATCCATGCAGCTTCTCGAGACCAGATCTGTGTGCTGTTGTGCACGCCGATCTCGATATCAGTGTGAATTTCGACAAGAAAGTCATCAGTGGAACAGTACATATTACTGTTGAAAAGAAACAAGCTGGAGTTGAAACAATCGTAAGTAATCTACCGACAAAGAGGGTTATGGGCGCAGTTCGTTTGAAAAAGGGGTAGCATCACTGTACAATGATGATAACAGGTGTTTGGTTGCAAGGATTGGTAGATTTATTGAAGTGCTGTTATCCAGGAAAGAAACATATGTGACAAACTCGTATGGAAATGTGTATGACATAAAAAAGTAAGGCATATTTTCTTACATTTATATTTTTGATTTTACCAATTTTCACTTTTAGTCATGGATTATTTGAAAAAAAAACATGTAGTGTAAGCATAGAGTTCGAGATGATTTTTGTCACTAAGCAATATATCACGTGACTTACCATGCGTATGGGTAGTCATGTGGGTACCCGGGTCCTGCTCAGTACCCACCCGACCCGGGTACCCGAGTTACCCTACTAGTTGGCTTAACTTACGTGATCTAAGCCTACTTGTGTGTATGTTTGAATCACTCAGTTGGCAATATTTATCATAGCTACAGTGAAACATTGGGATGTACGTAAAAGTGATTACAGTTATTAATAAATGTGTGAGGTTGTAACTACTGCAAGCTACAAACCGTTTGAACTTTATACCGTAATCGTTTATTGTGTAACAGGTTTTTCCTTTGCTCTCTATTCCTGAGGAATTGAGCCTATTAGGAATCTCAACAAAGGCGAGAATGACACCATGCGACATGTGTAGACTTGAACATGTTGAAAGACTCACACAAGCTTGTGATTAAAATAGTTTTTATACTGTTGATATATGCAATAGTATATGAATATACATATGTAAATTGTTGTAACAGATGTTAATCAGAAAGAAGTTATGACAAACGGGTGAAATGAGTTCTATTTATATGTCACTATTTCCAGTTATGGACAAGTAATTTTTTTGAATATTGTGAGTATGTTTTATGGTATTCTGTTTGATATCTTGGCCATGGTTGATTTTGATTGATTTCTTGTTTTCATTTCAAATTAACAAAACGATAATTGATAGTTGGTTTTTCATAACATTTGCCCTTCAGGCCATCCATATTTTTTTATGTGTTTCTCATCTCCAAACTTAACCAGCTAGAGACTGGGCAGACAAGATTTAAAAATGAAAAAGTAAAACATCTGTTTTTCACTATTTGTGGTCTTATTTTATGAAATTTTAAAGTTTAGAACACTTGGTAACAGTCATTCAATTAATTTATGACATAGATCGAGTCACTTTGCTTTGGAAACAAGTTTTTAATAAATATAGCTGAAGAAAGATCAAGCTGACCTGATGTTTTTTAGTGTGCAATTGTAGTAGTCTTTTTGCATCACATCAGGGAATATATTTTCATAGCGGCAGGGAAAATTGAGATAAGAAGACTTAATTATTTCATGTTGGAACAAAAATTCAGCATGGCAGGAGATAGGAAACACAGAAAAAAATATGGACAGCCTTACAGAGATAGGTTGGTAGCATAGTATGTATTAAGAAGTGATTGTTATTCTAAGACAGATTTTTGAAGGTAGAAAACTAATATTGGTGTAAGTATGTTAATGCCTGGTTTAAATAGTAGCATAGGTCCCATCAATGTTTGCTTATTGAAGGAGGTGACTAAATTGAGTGGTCAAGCAAAGTGACTTGATTGATTGTGCCCTGACACAATTGGAATGTTGCTCATTATATCGACCACTGGATTTTCTGATCCTGACTCACTTATGTACAGGTCACCGTGGTGTAGCTTGGATATTGCTGAGTGCAGCATTAAACTATAAATGAACAAACATATTTATTGATATGATAGAAACATTTGAGTCTCCAGTAATGTTGTTGATGTGTTACTCAACTGTGACATTGTGGAGAAGTATTCCATGGATTGTTGCTGATACTATCAACCACTGGTTGGACTTGCGTGGTAGACAACAGTGGGAAACCCTTTCTTTTCTCCTGCTTTAATACTCATAGAGACACTAAACTAGTGGTTAACTTACTCACTCACTTGCACAAACCATTCACTCACTTGCACAAACCACTCACTTGTCCAAACCATTCACTTGTCCAAACCATTCACTTGTCCAAAGCACTCACTCACTTGTCCAAAACACTCATTCACTTGTCCAAAACACTCACTTGTCTAAAACACTCACTTGTCCAAAGCACTCACTTGTCCAAAGCACTAACTCACTCATTTGTCCAAACCATTCACTTGTCCTCACCATTCACTTGTCCAAAGCACTCACTCACTTGTCCAAAACACTCACTTGTCCAAAGCACTCACTCACTTGTCCAAAAAACTCACTTGTCCAAAGCCTTCACTCACTTGTCCAAACCATTCACTTGTCCTCACCAAACACTTGTCCAAACCACTCACTTGTCATTACCACTCACTCACCCAAACCACCCGCTGACTCTCGCTCACTTACTCGCTCCCTCACTAACTCAGTCATTCTCTCAGTCACTCACCCACTCACTCACTCATTGTCCTGTCATTGTCCTGTCATTGTCCTGTCATTGTCCTGTCATTGTCCTGTCATTGTCCTGTCATTGTCCACTCATTGTCCACTCATTGTCCACTCATTGTCCTGTCATTGTCCTGTCATTGTCCTGTCATTGTCTACTCATTGTCCTGTCATTGTCCTGTCATTGTCCACTCATTGTCCACTCATTGTCCTGTCATTGTCCTGTCATTGTCCTGTCATTGTCTACTCATTGTCCTGTCATTGTCCTGTCATTGTCCACTCATTGTCCACTCATTGTCTACTCATTGTCCTGTCATTGTCCTGTCATTGTCCACTCATTGTCCACTCATTGTCCACTCATTGTCCTGTCATTGTCCTGTCATTGTCCTGTCATTGTCTACTCATTGTCCTGTCATTGTCCTGTCATTGTCCACTCATTGTCCACTCATTGTCCTGTCATTGTCCTGTCATTGTCCTGTCATTGTCCACTCATTGTCCACTCATTGTCTACTCATTGTCCTGTCATTGTCCTGTCATTGTCCACTCATTGTCCACTCATTGTCTACTCATTGTCCTGTCATTGTCCACTCATTGTCTACTCATTGTCCTGTCATTGTCCTGTCATTGTCCACTCATTGTCCTGTCATTGTCTACTCATTGTCCTGTCATTGTCCACTCATTGTCCACTCATTGTCCTGTCATTGTCCACTCATTGTCCACTCATTGTCCTGTCATTGTCCTGTCATTGTCCTGTCATTGTCCACTCATTGTCCTGTCATTGTCCACTCATTGTCCTGTCATTGTCCACTCATTGTCCTGTCATTGTCCTGTCATTGTCCACTCATTGTCCTGTCATTGTCCTGTCATTGTCCTGTCATTGTCCACTCATTGTCCACTCATTGTCTACTCATTGTCCACTCATTGTCCACTCATTGTCTACTCATTGTCCTGTCATTGTCCTGTCATTGTCCACTCATTGTCCACTCATTGTCTACTCATTGTCCTGTCATTGTCCACTCATTGTCTACTCATTGTCCTGTCATTGTCCTGTCATTGTCCACTCATTGTCCACTCATTGTCTACTCATTGTCCTGTCATTGTCCACTCATTGTCCACTCATTGTCTACTCATTGTCCTGTCATTGTCCTGTCATTGTCCACTCATTGTCCACTCATTGTCTACTCATTGTCCTGTCATTGTCCACTCATTGTCTACTCATTGTCCTGTCATTGTCCTGTCATTGTCCACTCATTGTCCACTCATTGTCTACTCATTGTCCTGTCATTGTCCACTCATTGTCTACTCATTGTCCTGTCATTGTCCACTCATTGTCCTGTCATTGTCCACTCATTGTCCACTCATTGTCCTGTCATTGTCCTGTCATTGTCCTGTCATTGTCCACTCATTGTCCACTCATTGTCCACTCATTGTCCTGTCATTGTCCACTCATTGTCTACTCATTGTCCTGTCATTGTCCTGTCATTGTCCTGTCATTGTCCTGTCATTGTCCACTCATTGTCCACTCATTGTCCACTCATTGTCCACTCATTGTCTACTCATTGTCCTGTCATTGTCCTGTCATTGTCCACTCATTGTCCACTCATTGTCCTGTCATTGTCCTGTCATTGTCCACTCATTGTCCACTCATTGTCTACTCATTGTCCTGTCATTGTCCACTCATTGTCTACTCATTGTCTACTCATTGTCTACTCATTGTCCTGTCATTGTCCTGTCATTGTCCACTCATTGTCCACTCATTGTCCACTCATTGTCCTGTCATTGTCCTGTCATTGTCCACTCATTGTCCACTCATTGTCCACTCATTGTCCTGTCATTGTCCTGTCATTGTCCACTCATTGTCCACTCATTGTCCACTCATTGTCCTGTCATTGTCCTGTCATTGTCCACTCATTGTCCACTCATTGTCCACTCATTGTCCACTCATTGTCCTGTCATTGTCCACTCATTGTCCACTCATTGTCCACTCATTGTCCTGTCATTGTCCTGTCATTGTCCACTCATTGTCCACTCATTGTCCACTCATTGTCCTGTCATTGTCCACTCATTGTCTACTCATTGTCCTGTCATTGTCCTGTCATTGTCCACTCATTGTCCACTCATTGTCCTGTCATTGTCCTGTCATTGTCCACTCATTGTCCACTCATTGTCTACTCATTGTCCTGTCATTGTCCACTCATTGTCTACTCATTGTCCTGTCATTGTCCTGTCATTGTCCACTCATTGTCCTGTCATTGTCCTGTCATTGTCCTGTCATTGTCCACTCATTGTCCACTCATTGTCCTGTCATTGTCCTGTCATTGTCCTGTCATTGTCCACTCATTGTCTACTCATTGTCCTGTCATTGTCCACTCATTGTCCACTCATTGTCTACTCATTGTCCTGTCATTGTCCACTCATTGTCTACTCATTGTCCTGTCATTGTCCTGTCATTGTCCACTCATTGTCCTGTCATTGTCCTGTCATTGTCCTGTCATTGTCCACTCATTGTCTACTCATTGTCCTGTCATTGTCCTGTCATTGTCCTGTCATTGTCCACTCATTGTCTACTCATTGTCCTGTCATTGTCCACTCATTGGCTACTCATTGTCCTGTCATTGTCCTGTCATTGTCCACTCATTGTCCACTCATTGTCTACTCATTGTCCTGTCATTGTCCACTCATTGGCTACTCATTGTCCTGTCATTGTCCACTCATTGTCCTGTCATTGTCCACACATTGTCCACACATTGTCCTGTCATTGTCCACTCACTGTCCACTCATTGTCCTGTCATTTTCCTGTTATTGTCCACTCATTGTCCACTCATTGCCCACTCATTGTTTGTTTGCAGATACTGGACACAAGAGATGTGACTGTCACTCAGGTTTCAGACAAGGACTCTGGACAAGAACTGACCTATTCCCTCGGTGAACCAACTGGAACCTTTGGATCCAAGTTGGAGATCAAACTTCCAAATGGAAATGGGAAAAAGTAATTATATTTATCCTGTGATGTATCTTGTGTGCTCAACTACTGTTTGAAGCAGGTTTAAACCCAACTTACTGACCTTCAGTGATCAACAAATTAAAAGTCCCTTGAAAGCTTCACAGGTTTGACTAACAGGATCGGGTGGTCAGGCTCGCTGACTTGGTTGATGCATGTCATCGTATTACAATTGCATTGATCGATGCTTATGATGTCAATCACTGTATTTTCTGGTCCAGACTTGATTATTTACAAACTGCCGTCTTATAGCTGGAATATTGCTGAGTACGGCATTAAACAACAAACAAAAATCATAGGTTTGATTTTCAAGGTATGATCAAGGGGAGACAATGCAAATTTTCTACATGATGAATTGTCTCCCTTTGACCATAGTACATCTTCAGTAATGTTTCAAATCTAAATATGCTCTCGTGTTTATGGCATGTTAATATTTGTGTTATTTATTAGATAAAATTGGTTAATTTCAGAAAGTGAAAAAAAATGTAATTAATTGTTCCTTAGATTTTTAAAACCAGCATCATTTGACATAAAAAAACAAATCAAATGACATCAGTGAAGTGTCTGTATTTAGCAGCACCGTCAGAACAATTCTTGTATTTTCAGATACACCCTGTCAATCAAGTATGCCACCTCCCCCAAGTGTTCTGCACTGCAGTGGCTCCGCCCTGAACAGACCGCAGGGAAGAGACAGCCGTATCTGTTCAGCCAGTGTGAGGTACGGATCCCCAGACTAACATATGGTCTATGTAATCATATATTACACATCTGTTCAGCCAGTGTGAGGTACGGATCACCAGACTAACATATGGTCTATGTAATCATATATTACACATCTGTTCAGCCAGTGTGAGGTACGGATCCCCAGACTAACATATGGTCTATGTAATCATATATTACACATCTGTTCAGCCAGTGTGAGGTACGGATCACCAGACTAACATATGGTCTATGTAATCATATATTACACATCTGTTCAGCCAGTGTGAGGTACGGATCCCCAGACTAACATATGGTCTATGTAATCATATATTACACATCTGTTCAGCCAGTGTGAGGTACGGATCACCAGACTAACATATGGTCTATGTAATCATATATTACACATCTGTTCAGCCAGTGTGAGGTACGGATCCCCAGACTAACATATGGTCTATGTAATCATATATTACACATCTGTTCAGCCAGTGTGAGGTACGGATCACCAGACTAACATATGGTCTATGTAATCATATATTACACATCTGTTCAGCCAGTGTGAGGTACGGATCACCAGACTAACATATGGTCTATGTAATCATATATTACACATCTGTTCAGCCAGTGTGAGGTACGGATCACCAGACTAACATATGGTCTATGTAATCATATATTACACATCTGTTCAGCCAGTGTGAGGTACGGATCCCCAGACTAACATATGGTCTATGTAATCAAATATTACACATCTGTTCAGCCAGTGTGAGGTACGGATCACCAGACTAACATATGGTCTATGTAATCATATATTACACATCTGTTCAGCCAGTGTGAGGTACGGATCACCAGACTAACATATGGTCTATGTAATCATATATTACACATCTGTTCAGCCAGTGTGAGGTACGGATCCCCAGACTAACATATGGTCTATGTAATCATATATTACACATCTGTTCAGCCAGTGTGAGGTACGGATCCCCAGACTAACATATGGTCTATGTAATCATATATTACACAATTTGTTTTCTGTCATTTCAATTGCTAATGCTGATTTCATATGTGGATTAGACCTGGCCAAGTTTTGTGATGATCTAGATTGGTTTTTATTAACCTAAATGCAGATATTACCAAGTCATGGTGCAGGATTAGCTGATCACTAGCAGATTTAGCCAATCACTAGCAGGATTAGCCAATCACTAGTGGGACTAACCAATCACTAGCAGGACTAATCAATCACTAGCAGGACTGGCCAATCACTAGCAGGACTAGCCAATCACTAGCAGGATTAGCCAATCACTAGCAGGACTAACCAATAACTAGCAGGATTAGCCAATCACTAGCGGGACTAGCCAATCACTAGCAGGACTAACCAATCACTAGCAGGACTAACCAATCACAAGCGAGACTAACCAATCACTAGGGAGACTAACCAATCACTAGCAGGACCAACCAATCACTAGCAGGACTAACCAATCACTAGCGGGACTAACCAATCACTAGCGGGACTAGCCAATCACTAGCAGGACTGGCCAATCACTAGCAGGACTAACCAATCACTAGCAGGACTAACCAATCACTAGCGGGACTAGCCAATCACTAGCTGGACTAACCAATCACTAATGGGACTAACCAATCACTAGCAGGACTAACCAATCACTAGCAGGAATAACCAATCACTAGCAGGACTAACCAATCACTAGTGGGACTAACCAATCACTAGCAGGACTAACCAATCACTGGCGGGACTAACCAATCCCAAGCGGCACTAGCCAATCACTAGCAGGACTAACCAATCACTGGCGGGACTTACCAATCACTAGCGGGACTAGCCAATCACTAGCAGGACTAACCAATCACAAGCAGGACTAGCCAATCACTAGCAGGACTAGCCAATCACTAGCAGGACTAACCAATCACTAGCAAGACTAACCAATCACTTGCAGGACTAGCCAATCATTAGCAGGACTAGCCAATCATTAGCAGATCTAGCCAATCACTAGCAGATCTAGCCAACCATTAGCAGGACTAACCAATCACTAGCAGGACTAACCAATCACTAGCGGGACTAGCCATTCACTAGCAGGACTATATTTGTAACACTGTTGAGTAGCACCTGAATATAGACTTAAATTATGTAAATGAGATGATTACAGCATAAAATGTCACAAAAATGGAGTGATGTCAAAAGTTTTAAATGGTTTTGAACAACACAGAAATGTCAAGACAAGGTAAGACCCTGTTAAAGAAAAACTTGAATTCTGACATAATTAAATATCCAGAAGCCTGTCAAGAATTGAATCTGGATATGCCTAGCTTACTGGAGAAAAGTTCTACCCAAGGCTACATTGAGTGATCAAAGTAAAAGTTTATTTCATTAGTATCTTTTTGATTAGTTCTTAATGTAGAATAAAAGCTTAGAATCATATGCAGACATCCTAAAATATATATATACATGTATTCACTGTGTGTGTTATTGAAGCTCATATACAATGTTTATAATGACATTTTTCGAGGCTTACCTCCACACAAGGAGTTGAAACTAATACCGCTGTCAGTACCGGTAAACATCAGTTTTACTTTCCAAAGTAAATGAAAAACACTCCAAGTTTGTTGATGCTTGTGATTCTGATGAGTTGACATTCACCTTCATGAAACTTCTATTTACGAGTAATATTTCAATGTTGATGGCCAACTTTCGGTGTTTATGAATTGATATGATATTCAATCATATTAAACCCTACAAATACAGGCAAAGTTTGTTTTTCTGCATATATGGAGCTTCATCACACTATTTGAAAAATAGTCACACCGTTGCCTGCAGCCATGTTAGTAGCAACAAACAAACGTGACGGTTACTTATCCAGAATTCTGTAGGTGTACCCAAAACTACAACAATTATATTTGTTTGCAGGCAATCCATGCCAGAAGCCTGTTCCCCTGTCAGGATAGCCCTGCTGTCAAGTTTCCTTACTCTGCCAAGGTAAATTATGCCACTGTACACTGTTTGATAAACTGTTTGATCTATCAGCCTTATTTATGTGCCAAGTTTTCAGTTTTTCACTCCTGTCGGGGCGATCGCCTGTATTGACTAAGATTATATTAAGATTAAGATATTTATACTGCTAAAAGAAAGTTAAAGAACACCCGATTATATTACTATTACACATGCAGTAGTTAATCTGTCATGGCATGACGATAAACTATTTTAAGTTCAATGTCAAAGTATTGGAGTAACAATCGTCTTAGCGCAAAGGTCACTTTGTGGAACGGGGGACTGGACCATTTTTCACAAAGCAATCTTAGTGCTATGACTGTTCCTCTGTAGGACCGTAAGACTATTTTAAAGAACACTAGATACTAATGTCTCAGGTCTAGGATATTTGGGGCGGTCGGGTAGCCTAGTGGTTAAAGCGTTCGCTCGTCACGCCGAAGACCCGGGTTCTATTCCCGACATGGGTACAATGTGTGAAGCCCATTTCTGGTGTCCCCCACAGTGACATTGCTGGAATATTGCTAAAAGCGGCGTGAAACCCTACTCACTCACTCACTTCACCCCTGTCACATGGGAGCATGGATACTTGTAGAAGTCACGAGTTGACGTTATAAAATTATGCTTGCAGAAGAAAAACTGACAATGAACTCATTTCTAGCTTGTCATTGTGTAGTGGGACTATAGCACTGATGGGTCACAGGTTTGGTATTGACAGTCCAAGAATCATAATTTGACCACATTTTGGGCTCAATCAATAACCAGTAAATCTCGACAGTGACCAAGGGAAGCAACTGGGCTCCTCATGTGAAGGACATGGGGCTGTGTATGATTTTGGGCTTGGAATTTGGTTTTAGATATTTTTTTGGTCTGTACTTCAAGACATACATTTCAGGGAACAAAAAACTTTCTTTCTTTTTTTTAACCCAAAATACATGATTTAGTCAGAACCTTTGCAGTGTTGCTTTGAACAATTGTATAACCTGGGGACAATTTATTTGTTACAATCAATTTCAGGAACAATTTATGTTTTTTACAAAAATCACAGAAAACTAAATGGTTATCTGCTATTAAAATGCCCTCGTAGCTGTCTGGTATTAGTGTGTTCTGTTGGTAGGTGACGGCGCCTCGTGAGGTGACAGTGCTGATGAGTGCAGTGAGGCTGGGGTCAGACCCATGTGCTGGAGACAGCGCCAGTCTGGAGACACGGTTCCTGCAGGAGATCCCCATCCCCAGCTACCTGCTGGCCATTGTGGCCGGCGACATCGAGAGCAGGTGGGCCGCATACAACATAAGGCTTAAATAATTATCAGAAATTTTCTTAGCACTCTCTGTGTGTGTGAAAAACATAAGACAAACATGACGTCATGCTGAAATGCAATGATGTCATGATACAACGGATAATGCCATATGTTTACGTGATAAACGAAACCGCCTGCATAACAAAGTTTCGAATGAAATAAGTCAACATTATGATGATGTCATGATGTTGTTGTTGCAGATGATTATGAGCGAGGAATTCACTCGCCATTCTGAACTTGCATTTTGTGCAAGTAGAACTGACGCAAATACAGTAAACTACAGTTATAAAGCACTCAAAGAGACCACTAATTATACCAAGGTTCCATCCGTCCGTCCATCCATCCGTCTGTCCGAACATTTTGTCTGCGCAATTTCTCTTAAACTATTCAGGGGATTCATCTCAAACTTAGTACATATAATCTGTATCATATGGAGGGGTGCAGTCAAAAGAAAAAAATTGTTTTTATGAATTTTCCATTTTTTAATGAATTTTTCAAACCCTAACGTCCGTCCGATAACTTTGTCCGCAAGATTTCTCTTAAACTATTCAGGGGATTCATCTCAAATTTAGTACATATAATCTGTGTCATATGGAGGGGTGCAGTCAAAAGAAAAAAATGTTTTTATTAATTTTCCATTTTTTAATGAATTTTTCAAACCCTAACGTCCGTCTGATAACTTTGTCTGCGAGATTTCTCTTAAACTATTCAGGGGATTCATCTCAAATTTAGTACATATAATCTGTGTCATATGGAGGGGTGCAGTCAAAAGAAAAAAATTGTTTTTATTAATTTTCCATTTTTTTATGAATTTTTCAAACTCTAACCCTATCCTAGCTATTTAATTTGTAACTACTGACACACTAGGCGGGTCGGGGGTATTAGTGAGCCACGCTCACTTTTGCACTTGTTTTAATTGTTATAACCGTAGTTTGTTATAAGCATATGTGCTGAATACATACAGCTAATGGACGGTACCATAACAATTTAAATATGTTGATTCCGGAAGTAGACTCAATTTGCCCCTTTTGTTGATTCTACATCCGGAGTTTACAGACTGGAGTCATGAGTCATTTGGCCATTGCATATCATATTTCGTTCAGTCGACCTTTTTGGACAAATCAAGAAACTAAACCAAAATATCTACTTGCCTGGTTGTCCGACAATGGTGTTTCCAACTTTTGTTATTAATTATCGCATTTACAAAGAAACTTCGTCATTAATGAGTTGTTTCAACTGTAAGTATTGACATGATTGATGAATAAAGAGGGCAAATACCCATCAGTGTTAGTAAGGTGTTGTCTCCAAATTGATTTTGTAAGCTTATCGGTTGCTATAAGATGAATTCAACCAATTTTGTGTTTGTTTGTAATTTTCCTTGTTAGTTAAATGATCAATTCGCAAATATAGAATGACTTAGGGTGCTGAATGTTTTATTTAGGTGTAGTTTCTACTTACATGATTCTAGTGAGTGAGAGAGTTTGGTTTAATACCGCTTTTTACAGTATTCCAGTTAATGTTAGAGGAAAGCTCGAAGTGATGAAGGTCTGAGATGTTTGTTTACCACTTTGGTGAAACCAACGAGCACGGGTATGGTGCTAACAAAGCTAGAAACATAATCTGGACAATCCAAAATTCGAACCCACAATCATAGGTGTCAGGTGTGTCCAAGGGAGGCAACTCTGACAACAATTTTACTGAGATTTGACTGTAATATACGGGATGTTTGCTTCAGAAAAATTGGTCCCCGGTCCAAGGTGTGGTCTGAGAAGGAGTTCGTAGATGAGGCGGCTTATGAATTTGCAGAGGTGAGTTAGAAGAATGCACTAAGGACCTCAGGCCACATTTTTTTGTAGTTGCTGTTCAGATCTGCCCTCTGAAAGTTTTTTTCGGAAATGGATTTTTTTTCAGAATTTGCTCACTTTTTTTCTCGCCAGAAAGCTCACAGCATATTGCACCCAAAAGGATTTTCTAACAATCTCATTAAAATCAGACCTTATTTCTCGCTACCGCTAAACAAAGATCTGAAGACATCACATTACGGGTCACGTCAGAACAACCTTTCATCCGACTTATCAGAGCGTTGCTTACCAGATTATGAAAGTGACAGTCGGAATGTGATTTCTAATCATGCAACCTCGAAAACTTTAACACGGGGTATTCCGAACGATAGTTGTGGGTTCTTCCATACAATCTAGACCATCTATTAGCCATTCCAGAATGTTCTTTTGTTCAGGTTTCAAATTTGTAAATGAGAATTTATCAAAATATGTTTCGAAGCGTAGTCGCCAATTTGAAATTAGTGCTGTAAAGCACGAGAAAGCTGCCCTCTGATTGGTCATTCCATTGGTCAGTCAAAGTTCGCGCAAGGTCGGTCTGACGTGACCCGAAATGGGATGTCCTCAGATCTTTGATTAGCTGTAGCGAGAACTAAGATCTGATTTTAATGAGATTGATTTTCTAAACAAGGACACACCATTAATAATTTTGTTTAAAACAAACAAGATTTTTGTGTGTAAATCAAAAGAAGCTAACATGTGTTTGTAAGGATTATTTAAACTACCGTTGCGATCTGATGTATACATAACTCTGTACGCTGACATCTACCGGTCAAACAATGAACTATCTTATACATTATTGTATGAGGGAAGGGAGGAAACTCCAATTCCCTTTGCTGATCTGCCGTGATTGTCACTCTTCTGACAGACATGTTTTTGAAACCGAAATCTAATATTAAAAAAACTGGCACAGGTGCAGGCACAAGACACTACAATTGGTAGTTTTATCAGTGTCCTCTTATGTACAAATTCAAGACATTTCAGTTTGTGAGAGATATGAGGGATCTGTGATGTCGGTGTATCACTGGAAACGCCATGTTCAGGCTGTCATAGATTTGAAAACAAATATGTATTTGTCACAAATATGTAACTGATTGTATTGACAGTGCAGACAGTCACTCACCAAAAGTGTCCCTGATTGACTTGTCAGGTTTGCTTAGCTCAAAGCAACAGCTATGTTACACTCTCTCCTCCCATCCTTCATACAGCTAACAAAAAATTATGATCGAATAGGAAAAATGATGAAATTATAAAGAAGTGCATGCCGTTCAACGTGAAGTGCCAAAAGTCAACAATGGCCGTTTCTGGTAGTTGTGTGCCGAGGAAGTTTGGCCGAAACTTTTGTAACTCGCTATATTTTCTTTTGAGGTAAATATATTACTGAAAGTTTTGATATTGAGCAAGCTGAGCATTTATGCATGTCATACGTAATTTAAATGTTACCAGGTTACGCAAAGCCTTCTTGGTAAATGGATATGGCGAGTTTTATTTTGGGGCGTCGTTATGCTATCCGCCTGTCGAATGGGTTCGACGTCAGATGCACGGGAAGTTACACCTCTGTCGAATGGGTTCGACATTAGCGTGCAGAGTTTTAAACCATATTTATTGGTTTAATACCAGTTGACCTGTCGTGAAGGAGAAAACTAAAAAAAAATACTACAATCTTTTCCCACCTAGTGACAGGTATTTTCCCATAAAACATCTGTGAAGCAAGTAACAAAAAAGTGCGGCCTTAGCACTGTGATGGTCGTAAGTATATGTTAAAGTATGGGAGATATGATCACCTTAGCGATAAGATCACTTTATGGAACAGGCCTTGATCTCGTTCTCATACAGAACATGTGAGGGTTTCTTATTGGAAACAGTATGTATAAGCATCATATGGTGTTACCATGAGACAAGATTGAGGTATTTAATTTCAAGCTGTTCCCTTTTTCAGACGGAGGAGATGCTGGTGGCTGCGGAGTCGCTGATGGGGCCGTATGTGTGGAGTCAGTATGACTTGCTGGTGCTCCCACCATCTTTCCCCTTCGGGGGGATGGAGAACCCCTGCCTCACATTTGTCACCCCCACGCTGCTGGTGAGACTAGTTGCCATGGTTACTGGGCACTTCACATAAGCCGACTGATTGTGTTTGTTACATTTTATAAATGATTTACCCCTTGTGAAATTTTAAGAAAATGATGATAAACTGCTTTGATAGGTGTTTATATTAGAAGTACTGGTAAACACAATCAAAACATGGTTCATAATGATATTGTCATTAGTTTTGTTCAAAGTTTTAGGTGGGGTAGCTTAGCGGTTAAAGCGTTCGCTCATCGCGCTGAAGACCCGTGTTCGATTCCTAACATGGGTACAATGTGTGAAGCCCATTTCTGGTGTCCCCAAGCCGTGATATTCCTGGAATATTGCTAAAAGATGGCGTAAAAATCCAACTCACTCACTCTGGTGCCCCCTGCGGTGATATGGCTGGAATATTACTAAAAGCAGTGTAACAGAAGATTTAGCTTTCTTCTGGTACCATTTTTGAAGACCTTTATGCCAAATAGTATCATATTCATGATTCTCAGGGACTTTCAGGCTAGATCAGGTTGTAATATTATACCTGCCAACCTCTCCCTGTCCTCCGACCTCACCCAATTTCTTTGTAATTTAGTTTCGTTGGATGTCAGTTTAGTGGTGAATAATAAATGCAATGTTGTTTACATTTCAAAGCAGAATTTTTATTGTAGCTTACATGTGTTTTTTAGTTCTGAGAAGCCTTCTTTGTCTTCATGAGAGTGAGTGAGTGAGTGAGTGAGTGAGTGAAAGTATGGTTTCACGCTGCTTTGAACAATATTCCAGCAATATCACAGTGGGGGACACCAGAAATGGGCTTCACGCTCTTCATGATAGGTTTATAGTGGCCACAGACAACATACAATGCCCTTGACGACAATTGTATTTTCAATGTTAATAGTTACTTTAATTACATATGATCTTCTTTAAGTCAGAGGGCGCACGGGTGGCCCAGTCGACTAAGGCACCATGATTCGCTGTGCAGAGTTGCGTCCCTTCGGCACGCCAGAAACCTATGATTGTGGGTTCGAATCCCGTTTCGCCCCGATTATGTTTCTTGGTTTGTCAGCACCATACCCGTGCTCGTGGGTTTCACCGAAGTGTAAACGTCTGAGACCTGCATCACTTTGGGCTTTCCTCCCACATTAAGCTGACACGCCGCGACATAACTGGAATACTGTTAAAAGCGGTGTTTAACCCAACTCACTCACTCTAGTCAGATCATTGTTTTAATTTCATCCATCAAAGATGAAGCAGTAGGGAAAGTTTTATTATATTTTCTGATTGTCGTTTATCGAATCCATCAACCAAAAATATATAAAATGTAACCTTATAAGAAAAGGGTTTTTGTTTAGTTACCGTATTCGACATAATAAGCGCCCAGGGCGCTCTCAAAATTAGAAATGGAGACTCTTATTAGAATGTTATTTTGGTGAAAAAAATCCACCGAAGTTGAAAGATAAATTTCGTGGTTTATGCCGACAGCCTGAAATGTTTATATACGACAGAATTTTTTCAGAATTTAATTGCTCATAAAATTAGGGTGCATATAACACACGAGTGCGTATTACACGCGAATAATTAAGTATCTTGTACATTGATCAATTGAAAGGGGTGCTAATCGGGATTGCTCAATAGCCAATATATTAGTAAATATCGCCGTGGGCGCTTATTAGAGCGGGGCGCTTATTACATCGAATATGGACTACATCATGATGTATGGATAGGTTAGGGATACGACACATTGCTACTCCACTTGTTGTTTGTCGTGCAGGCAGGAGACAGATCGCTGGCCAACGTGGTGGCCCATGAGATCGCCCACAGCTGGACCGGCAACCTCGTTACCAACAAGACCTTCGAACATTTCTGGTAGGAGATGTACATGTTTGGTAATATGATCGCCTGACTTGACTAAGATTATATTAAGATTAGGATATTTATACTGCTAAAAGAAAGTTAAAGAACACCCGATTATGTTACTATTACACATGCAATAGTTAATCTGTCATGGCATGACGATTAACTATTTTAAGTTCAATGTCAAAGTATTGGAGTCACAATCGTCTTAGCTCAAAGGTCAATATTACTATTACACATGCAGTAGTTAATCTGTCATGGCATGACGATTAACTATTTTAAGTTCAATGTCAAAGTATTGGAGTCACAATCGTCTTAGCGCAAAGGTCAATATTACTATTACACATGCAGTAGTTAATCTGTCATGGCATGACGATTAACTATTTTAAGTTCAATGTCAAAGTATTGGAGTCACAATCGTCTTAGCTCAAAGGTCAATATTACTATTACACATGCAGTAGTTAATCTGTCATGGCATGACGATTAACTATTTTAAGTTCAATGTCAAAGTATTGGAGTCACAATCGTCTTAGCGCAAAGGTCAATATTACTATTACACATGCAGTAGTTAATCTGTCATGGCATGACGATTAACTATTTTAAGTTCAATGTCAAAGTATTGGAGTAACAATCGTCTTAGCGCAAAGGTCACTTTGTGGAACGGGGCACTGGACCAATTTTTCACAAAGCAATCTTAGCGCTATGACTGTTCCTCTGTAGGACTGTAAGACTATTTTAAAGAACACTAGATACTAATGTCTCAGGTCTAGGATATTTGGGGCGGTCGGGTAGCCTAGTGGTTAAAAGCGTTCGCTCATCACGCCGAAGACCCGGGTTCGATTCCTGCCATGGGTACAATGTGTGAAGCCCATTTCTGGTGTCCCCCACCGTGATATTGCTGGAATATTGCTAAAAGCAGCGTAAAACCATACTCACTCATATTTTGTGGGCCCTTGATACTAGGTTTAGTGGTGTTTGAAATTATACATGAAAGTCATGGGTCCCAATCATGGCCCTGATGGTTAAAATTAGGCGTTCCCCAGAATCAAATACTATGGGTGCAAAACTCAAGGAAACAAGGACCTCATTAATTTTGAACAATATTTTGTATGTTATTGATATCAGTATTACTGATAGGTTATGTACATATAACAATGGTTACGATGGCACCAGTAATATTTATTAGGAAACACAACTGATAATTTTTTCTGTATGATTATTATTCTTCCCACAGGCATTGTCATTTGTGTGTTGCAGGTTAAATGAAGGCTTCACTAAGTATTTAGAAAGATTGATTGTGTGCAAATTAAATCAAACCCCAGGATATCGGCAATTCCTGGCAAATGAGGGACTGGTGGTTTTACAAAATGCTGTAAGTCGCTGAGTAAGCAAATCATCTATATCCTTCAGTGCTCATGTTGGGAATACAGTGTTGATCTCAACATCGGTGAGACTTCATGTGTTTGTATGAGGGCTGGGACGATACACCAGCTGTGCGATCTGATACGTATCATGATACCTTGCTCACGATCCAGTATGTATCATGATATCTTGCTCACGATCTAGTACGTATCAAGATATCTTGCTCACGATCCAGTACATATCACGATACCTTGCTCACGATCCAGTACGTATCACAATATCTTGCTCCCGATCCAATACGTGTCACAAATTCTTGCTCACGATCCAGTATGTATCACGTTACCTTGCTCACAATCCAGTATGTATCACGTTACCTTGCTCACAATCCAGTATGTATCACAATACCTTGCTCACAATCCAGTATGTATCACAATACCTCACTCAAGATCCAGTATGTATCGGGTTACCTTGCTCACAATCCAGTATGTATCACAATACCTTGCTCACGATCCAGTATGTATCACAGTACCTTGCTCAAGATCCAGTATGTATCACAATACCCTGCTCACGATCTAGTATGTATCACGTTACCTTGCTCACAATCCAGTATGTATCACAATACCTTGCTCACGATCCAGTATGTATCACAATATCTCGCTCAAGATCCAGTATGTATCACGTTACCTTGCTCACGATCCAGTATGTATCACAATACCTTGCTCAAGATCCAGTATGTATCACGTTACCTTGCTCACGATCCAGTATGTATCACAATACCTTGCTCAAGATCCAGTATGTATCACAATACCTCGCTCACGATCCAATACACATCACGATACCTCGCTCACGATCCAATACGCCTCATGGTACCTTGCTCACGATCCAGTATGTATCACAATACCTTGCTCAAGATCCAGTATGTATCACAATATCTTGCTCACAATCCAGTATGTATCACAATATCTTGCTCATGATCCAGTATGTATCACAATACCTTGCTCACGATCCAGTATGTATCACGTTACCTTGCTCACGATCCAGTATGTATCACAATACCTTGCTCACGATCCTGTATGTATCACAATACCTTGCTCACGATCCAATACATATCACAATACCTTGCTCATGATCCAGTATGTATCACAATACTTTGCTCAAGATCCAGTATGCATCACGATACCTTGCTCACGATCCTATTATACTTGCATGTGCTCTTATGTGTGATGCGTAAGCCATCTTTATTATAGTTATGGTTAATTAATTGATTATGGTTAAATACCTGGCACACTGGCAACTTTCAGTTGGCAGTGTGAAGTATAGCGCATTGGATCAGAGCTTGGTGTAACGGTTATTAAAGTAAACATTGAAGGTAAGAATCAATATTTTTTACTTAGTGTGAGACTGTGATCGATACTTGTATCGAGAAGTAAAATATCGCGATCCACCGATGCATTGGTGTATCGTTCCACTACTAGTTTATATAGACTATGTCCCTCCCTTATCCGTGAAAACATACGTCCGCCTCGCAGTGTGATGGTGCTGGTGTGTGTTAGTCAGCTAGTGACATGACGCAGTGTATAGCCCACAAAGTCAGGTCCTGCTCCTTGCATGGACATTGCACAAGCCACCTGTGGCCTGACCTTGAAGCAAAATGTAGGGTATTTGTCTGCAAGGCTGTCACATGTGTTTGGTACAGGTGACCCAGTCGTCAGCTCGCTGTGCAGAATGGCGTCTCTAATTGGGCACGCCCGAAACCTATGATCGTGGGTTGGAATTCTGGTTATGTCAGTACCATACCCATGCTCGTGGGTTTCACCAAAGTAGTAAACATGCACCTGCATTACTTTCCTCCTGACCCGTGAAGTTTCCGGGGTAGAATAGGTCTTCAGCAACCCATGCTTGCCGTAAAAGGCGACTATGCTTGTCGTAAAAGGCGACCATCGGGATCGGGTGGTCAGGCTCGCTGACTTGGTTGATGCATGTCATCGATCCCGATTGGGTGGATTGATGTTCATGCTGTCAATCACTGGATTGTCTGGTCCAGACTCGATTATTTACAGACCGTTGTCATATAGCTGGAATATTGCTGAGTGCGGCGTTAAACAACAAACAAACAAAAACCAAAACTTTCCTCCTATATTATACTGACTTGCTGTGATATCACTGGAATACTGTTCAAAGCGGCATTAAACCTAAGCAGTGTTTCCGTTTACCGGTAATTACCAGTTTTTTACTTATGAAATTAGGCTTGGTGCGGTAATTCATGTGACTGTCAGTCTCTGGGACCAGCAAATAAAGTACCTTATAAATCTTCATTGTTCAACAAAACTTTGGCAATATTCATAGAAAGTATAGTTTTTGAAGTCAGCTTGTCTGTTGTCATCTGGGTGTCCCCTTGTCTATTTAGTGTAAAGAAATAACATTTCACTTTGCTTCAAGGTTAGATATATATTTTTATCATATAATGGGTAGGTTTCTCGGCAGGATAAAGCCAACGGATAAAAACGATATCCGTTGGGGTCATATGCGGATAGAGATGCAAATATCAAAGGTCAAGTAGGGACTACTTTCACTGTTTATAAACAAACATGGCGTCGCCCTCGTCATTCGGCGATCGAGTCAGATTTAACCATTGGGAATCTGGATAAACTACAGAGATAATTGCTTTCATTATCAAAAGAACAGTCTAATATACTGAAAATCAGTGTCTTACTGTGACGTAGCTAAGGCATTTTATACGTTTTGGCAACTTTGGAGATATAAATTTCGACATAATTTTGCGAGGGCATGAGGCCTAGCCAAGCGGGATCAGTAGCCATATCTGTGCTTGTAGACCTGCGGCTTGAATCTTTCTCAACAAATTAAAATAGTTGGATTTGGCGGAAATATGTTTGAATTGTTTCCCTGTTTTGTTTTGTCGCTTTGTGTACATCTGACTACACTTCTTAACGTTATGACAGGACAGACCGACTGTCAACAAAGTCTGACCGTTGCCGTGACGTCTCATAGACTAGGGTTAGAGTAACTTCCCTTTGACAAAGGGCAGTTACTCTAGCAGACAGACCGATGGATTGCCGCGAAAGGCAATTAAAAACAGTTGTTGTTTTGCGTATATGTTGCTTCGCCACTGTATAAGAAAGAGATTTCAGTTGTAACTATATTGGCTACTGTCACTGTCCGATTGACACATCACTTACCATGTGACGTAATAAATATTAATGCGCGCATTCCGCAATGTTTCGGTAATGTTTGTGAGAGAGGGAAAGCGATTTTGAAGAACAGAATTAAAGAATGACATTATATGATAAAGAGGTTATCACGCATGTGTGTTTGGGGATTGTAAATATCCTGTATTAGGAATAAACACTATGTATTTAGCTCGCCAAGGCTCGCTAAATACAATGTTTATTCCTAATGCAGGATATTTACCATTCCCCAACACACTCGCGTGATAACCTCTATGTAACAATTTATTCTCGAAATATTCTAAAAAAGGAAGAAAATTGTTACTGAACTTTGTGTGAATGGCGTGTAGATGTAACTTACTTCAGAGATGACGTCATTGCATTTAACATGATGTTGAAAGAATTAAAACTGGGTAATTTTCGTACATTTTTTTATTTAATGAAAGTTGAGACTGACAAAAATTAGGGGGAACTGGTAATTCTAAGAGTTTCCAGTCCAACAGGACTGGCAGTTTCAAAAGCGAGCGGAAACACTACCTAAGTCGCACACTCACTTACTCACTTAGTGTCACATGTTTTCTATGAGAAAGATTGCTCTGTGTGTGTAGTTATTGGTCTGAGCACTTGATGGTGTGACTCGTGACAGAACCAGGCCATGGCTTTAGGGCTGGGACTGGTAACTCGGGTACCCGGGTCGGGTGGGTTCTGAGTAGGACTCGGGTGCCCACAGGAGTACCCGGACCCGTGGTTAGTCACGTGATATATTGTTTAATGACAAAAAATATCTGGAACTCTATGGTTACACTACAAGTCACACATGTTCGCATTTCTTTCTGATCATGCATCCATTTCTTCTGACTTTTCATATCTTTGAATAAAGATGTAACTTGAGTCAACTTCAGTGTATGCATGACCAGATTGTTTAGTGTTATGTATCTAAATACGTTTTGCCAGTGCGATGTTAAAAAATGCCCAATCGGAGATTTTGTACCTATCTCTTTGAGACCTACAGTGGGTACCTGGGTAGTAAATTCGGACTCGTCCCAGCCCTACATGGCTTGACTCATTGGTCAAACTAGTGACAACGCAGCCAAGCATCCCTATGTATTCACGGGTGTTTGAGGACCATGGTGTATACAAACCCATAAAGTACTGACGATGAGGTCTGAACTTTCTTTGTTTGGTATGTCTGAATCAGAATAATACAAGTTAAGAATAACATTTCCTTTAAGTTATTTCTAACCATAATATATCCTGTCTAACCACAATATATTAAACAAGAAAATACAAATAAAATTCAATAGGAAATTGATATAAAGGACCTATGTAAGTTCTGGTTAATGTTGCCTTGTATAACACTTTGACCATAAAACTGAGGATTATGTGTTGATCTAGATAAGATAAGGTAATCTATCAAGATATCAAAATACTTTGAAAATAATCTTCATTATCACAAAGTCATATTGATATTTTGATGGCAGCGACATTCTGCTGTGGTTTATGTGTCCGGTGTTCATCATGGGGTTTCTTGGGCATCTGGGGCCGGTCGGGTAGCCTAGTGGTTAAAGCGTTCGCTCATCATGCCGAAGACCCGGGTTCGATTCCCGACATGGGTACAATGTGTGAAGCCCATTTCTGGTGTCCCCCACCGTGATATCGCTGGAATATTGCTAAAAGCGGCGTAAAACATACTCACTCACTCCTGGGCATCTGGAAATATACTACTCACAAGAAGTTAAGGAACACTGCTTTATTCACATGACTATGTCATGGCCATGACAGACAAGTATAGTCATATGAAACAATCGTGTATTCTTTAACTTCTTTGGAGTAGTATACCAGCGGCCCTTTACGTTTGAAATATTGACTCATCTGGGAAGGTCATTAAAGCAATGTTTAATCTCTCACAAATTACAAGAAAACTGTTTTTCTGTATCATCAGATAGAAGATTCTACACTTGTAGTGTGTATCAATATACAAACTGACATGACAGATATACATGCTTCTGTTTTACCACAGCAGCATCAATATGAAATATAATATATATAATGACCAAGGGAGACATATTTCATGTATCTGTACTTGAATCCCAGTATCGGCACCAGAAGAGTGAAAGTCACCGCTTGTTAAGGCAAAGTTTGATGATTATGATAATTTTCTGTAGGGGTTAATGTCAATGAGGTAATGGTCGGTAGGGGTTAATGGCAATGAGATTATAGCAGGGGTTAATGGCAATGAGATTATGATCAGGAGGGGTTAATGGCAATAAGATTATGGTCAGCAGGGGTTAGTGGCAATGAGATTATGATCAGGAGGGGTTAATGGCAATGAGATTATGAACAGAAGGGGTTAATGGCAATGAGATTATGAACAGGAAGGGTTAGTGGCAATGAGATTTTGAACAAGAGGGGTTTTGTTGCTATGAGATTATGAACACGAGGGGTTTGTTGCAATGAGATTAGGAACAAGAGGGGTTTGTTGCAATGTGATTATGAACAAGAGGGGTTATAGGCAATGAGATTAGGAACAGGAGGGGTGATAGGCAATGAGATTATGGTCAAGAGAGGTTAGTGGCAATGAGATTTTAGCAGGGGTTAATGGCAATGAGATTTTGATCAGGAGGGGTTATAGGCAAAGAGATTATGATCAGATGGGATTAATGGCAATGAGATTATAGCAATGAGATTATAGCAGGGGTTAATGGCAATGAGATTATGAACAGGAGGGGTTATAGGCAATGAGATTATGAACAGGAGGGGTTATAGGCAATGAGATTATGATAAGGAGGGATTATTGGCAATGAGATTTTGATCAGCTGGGATTAATGGCAATGAGATTATGATCAGCAAGGGTTGTCAGCAATTAGTGTATGGCCCATCAGTGTGATGCTATGGGAACTACCATGTCAGTATTGTGTCCCATTGTTTGGTAGGTTGAATGAGGGTCACACAGTGTTTGTGGAGAGGAAGATACAATCTGCCCTGTTTGGTGGAGAAAAGATGATGCACTTCTGTGGCTCCGAGGGACTGAAGGAATTACAGTACGCTGTGAGTGGCATTTTCATATCAAGTCAGTAGAAAACACGAGCTGAAGACTGATATACAAACCTAAGAAAAATTGTGCCAGTTGTACCCAAAGATATGACTAATCCTACAATTGATGACAACAGCAGTGGTGGAAGGTTTGCTGGATACCTGTAGAACATGAAGATCCGGGGTAAAATTGGTCTTCAGCAACCCACGCTTGTTGTAAGAGGCGACTATGCTTCTTGTAAGGGGCGACTATGCTTCTTGTAAGAGGCGACTAACGGGATCGGGAGGTCAGACTTGCTGACTTGAAGCATGTTATGACATCCCAACTGCGTGGCTCTGTGTCCAATGTGTCATTCACTGGATTAACCGCTCCAGGCTCGATTATTTACAGATTGCCATCATATAGATGGAATATTGTCGAGTTCATCAGCAAACAGACAAAAATGTAGCACATAAACTTCACATGCAATGTCACACTCCATCGCAGTGCCCTGTTCAGTGGAAATAGACTCTCCTGCTCCACATGGAACGTCTACTGTCCCCAAAAGCAGTATTAACTCTGATTTTTTTATAGAGGTGAACATTTTTTTTTTTCTGATTGTAATTTTCTTTGTTTGTCAAAATAACTGCCTCTTTTCTGCCTGTTTGTCTTGGTCATGGTCAGACATGGTCAGTACATGTTGCTATACATAAACCACTCTCCCTTGAAATGACTTGGAGAAATGTGTAGGGCCACAAATACCTGGTGAGACCCGGCCATAGGAAAATCTAAATCTAAAAGAAATCAGTTTTGGTTTTGGTTTTACCCATAATCAGCCAATACCCCATCACTTTTGTTGTGGATGTTTGAGGCATTGGTTGAGACGGTATCACAAACGAACCTGTTGCTGTATTGGCTGACCACTTTGGAAGGTATGGGTAGATCAAACTTCATTTCTTATTAAACACACTTCAGGTCATCTTCCCGAGGCAAGCGTGTCCACTAGCCCATATCAAAGCCGAGTTTCTACCCTTGCCTCATCAAGGCCACTTTACTTGGCTCGACCCTGGCGCCACCTCGCGTAGATCACAAGTTGTGCCCCTTGTAATAAAAACGCGATATCCAGTAAGATCACTGTTCTTATCGCATGTAGCTTCACAATGATGGCGACTACCATAGGCGACAACCTAGGCGACCAGATATTGAAAACATTCACGATTTCATCCCTGACAAAAAAACAAAGGCAATTGTTGGGGGGTTTAAAAGATGACAAAACATATTCACATCAACAAAGACAGCAGCGATAAATCACCTTCATACAAAGGTGTACCAATCGTGGATGTTGATTTTGTCAAACGTTCTCTGAATGGACTATCGATATGTGCGATAGTCCAACCATATTTAGCACAGGAAAGTGGGCTTGATGTGGTAAGGGTGGAAACAAGACTTTGATAAAAAGGCTAGTGGACGCTCTTCCCTTGGGAAGATGACATCAGATAAGAAGTATGACAAACAACTATTGAATAGCACGGAAAACATAATGTTTTGGCAAGCCCATGAACATATACCCCTGAATCCAGCAGTGAGGCTAGCATTGATAGATAATCTTTGACCTCTTGGGATACAAAAATTCATCAAATGATTGTCAGCAATGGGCAGACATACAGTTTTTTCATGAAATTATGGAATCTGATCCATAGAACACATGATAATCACATTTTCTTCCTTTTATGGTCAAAGATATCTGTCTGTGCATGTATGTACAACTTTGAGCTATGATGCAGCATATTGGGAAATGGTGTGCACTTAACACACAACATGCAAGATTAATTTGGCCATTGTGTTATTTCTTCATAAAACATATCACCAAATGATTTAGTTATATGTTTTTTATACCTTTGTAATTCTTTAGAAAGTAGATGTGTGCACCGCATACCCCCTGGATCCGTGTAGGATTTTGTGTATAATATTATGCTTAGCTATTATATTCACTATCAGTTATGACTGAAACCGAGTTTATCATCCAAAACTGGCTCCCACAGGAGATATCGCTTGGGTGAGATCAAGCGATATCTACACTGTAGATATCGCTGCAATGAAATTGCATCACAATGCTTTGCAGACCATTGTGACATCATTGGCGACCATGACGTCACAATCAAATGACATCACTAATGGTTCTGATACTGAAGCTGTAAGCAGTACTTTTTACACTTAAGACACTGCTTATTACTGTCTACAAACTGAAAAAGTTGGAAGAATGATGTTGGATGATAAATAAAATCTCACCCTCGTGTCTTTTGATATCAAATATATCAACACGAGTTAATAAAAGTGGGAAAACTCCGAGGCTTGCCGAGGATATTTTCCACTTTTATCAACGAGTGTTGATATATTTGATATCAAAAGACACTCGGGTGAGATTCACTATTTGTTGCATGTAGGTTGAAACACTGAAGAACGGCCCATACACTCGATTGGTTGTGGACTTGAAGGGCGTGGACCCTGATGATGCTTTCTCCACTGTCCCCTATGAGAAGGGCTTCACTCTGCTGTTCTACCTGGAGACTCTTCTTGGTGGACCAGGTGAGGCCATATGAGAGTCTGTTTGTTAAGAAACATTTTTTCATCATATTTACAGCTTCCAACAGTTCCAACAGTTAAAAATCACCGAATATTTTGATTTTTAAAAGTTTAAAAATGGCTATAGAGTCATTATTTTGGTGGTTTTGATTTATTTTAGTATAACCATCATAACACATGGCATGGTTTCCAAAGGGGTCATGTGACCAACCCCTAATGCATTATGGTCGGAAATTACGTTTTAACCCACTTTGGACTGTATGACAATATTGCTATAAGACAATATGAGTATATCCTTTAAGGCAATATGAGTATATATTTTTGTTCCCATGGAAACAGGGCAGGGACATAGATACTTTTGTCTTCTTTGAATCAGTTGCCATATGTTGTCATATATGGTATTAACTGAGTTTGTTACGTATTGGAGAAAACACGTTCACGAGGTTTTGGTAGACACCCAGGGCATGCTCTGTCTACCAAAACCGAGGGAAAGTGTTTTTCCATGCTTATAAACTGAAAAAAGAAACTTAAAACAACATTTTTCAACATTTTTATGTTTCGAACATACTTTCCATGAACCTTAGGAAACGCGCGTAAAATATCTGTTGCTGGCGTACGGATCTAGAAAAGGAAATTCTAAAAACCAGTGAGGCTTATCAACACCTCTGTAGCCTCGTGGTACACTCACTGGGCTACAGATATGAAGGTTGCGAGTTCAATCCTCGGGAATATAAAGAAAGCATTTGTCATTTGATTTTACATTTCATTACCTGTTACAATCTGAACGGAAGTTATATTAATAAAATACCCGGGACATTATATAATATCCCTGGGATATTATATAAAATCCCAGGGACATTACAACGTCCCTGTTTATGAGATTTAACCCGACTGGAAAGTAAAACCTCACAATAGGTTTTAATGCCTATAGAAAGAAGTCTCTTACTTAAAAGCGATCCCAATGAATAGGTTTATAATCTTAGTTCAGATTTACTGATCGTAATGTTTTGTTTCCTGACAGGTGTGTTTGAGAAGTTCCTTCGCTCCTACATTGAAAAATTCACCAAGGAGTCGATAGACACACAGCAGTGGAAGGAGTACCTGTACAGTTACTTCTCTGACGAGGTAAGGAGAACAGGTGTACAATCTGCTGGGAGTCATTAACTTGAAACTAACATGGGCCTTGGGAAGATTGGAAAGTACAGGATAGACAGTATCATGTTGGAGTGTTTGGGCCTTGGGAAGATTGGAAAGTACAGGATAGACAGTATCATATTGGAGTGTTTGGGCCTTGGGAAGATGCGAAAGTACAGGATAGACAGTATCATGTTGGAGTGTTTGGGCCTTGGGAAGATTGGAAAGTACAGGATAGACAGTATCTTGTTGGAGTGTTTGGGCCTTGGGAAGATTGGAAAGTACAGGATAGACAGTATCATGTTGGAGTGTTTGGGCCTTGTGAAGATTGGAAAGTACAGGATAGACAGTATCTTGTTGGAGTGTTTGGGCCTTGGGAAAGTACAGGATAGACAGTATCTTGTTGGAGTGTTTGGGCCTTGGGAAGATTGGAAAGTACAGGATAGACAGTATCATATTGGAGTGTTTGGGCCTTGGGAAGATTGGAAAGTACAGGATAGACAGTATCATATTGGAGTGTTTGGCCTTGGGAAGATTGGAAAGTACAGGATAGACAGTATCATATTGGAGTGTTTGGCCTTGGGAAGATTGGAAAGTACAGGATAGACAGTATGATGTTGGAGTGTTTGGGCCTTGTGAAGATTGGAAAGTACAGGATAGACAGTATCTTGTTGGAGTGTTTGGGCCTTGTGAAGATTGGAAAGTACAGGATAGACAGTATCATGTTGGAGTGTTTGGGCCTTGGGAAGATGCGAAAGTACAGGATAGACAGTATCATGTTGGAGTGTTTGGGCCTTGGGAAGATTGGAAAGTACAGGATAGACAGTATCTTGTTGGAGTGTTTGGGCCTTGTGAAGATTGGAAAGTACAGGATAGACAGTATCATATTGGAGTGTTTGGGCCTTGGGAAGATTGGAAAGTACAGGATAGACAGTATCATGTTGGAGTGTTTGGGCCTTGGGAAAGTACAGGATAGACAGCATCATGTTGGAGTGTTTGGGCCTTGGGAAGATTGGAAAGTACAGGATAGACAGTATCATGTTGGAGTGTTTGGGCCTTGTGAAGATTGGAAAGTACAGGATAGACAGTATCATGTTGGAGTGTTTGGGCCTTGTGAAGATTGGAAAGTACAGGATAGACAGTATCATGTTGGAGTGTTTGGGCCTTGGGAAGATTGGAAAGTACAGGATAGACAGTATCTTGTTGGAGTGTTTGGGCCTTGGGAAAGTACAGGATAGACAGTATCTTGTTGGAGTGTTTGGGCCTTGGGAAGATTGGAAAGTACAGGATAGACAGCATCATGTTGGAGTGTTTGGGCCTTGGGAAGATTGGAAAGTACAGGATAGACAGTATCATGTTGGAGTGTTTGGGCCTTGGGAAGATTGGAAAGTACAGGATAGACAGTATCTTGTTGGAGTGTTTGGGCCTTGGGAAAGTACAGGATAGACAGTATCTTGTTGGAGTGTTTGGGCCTAGGGAACATTGGAAAGTACAGGATAGACAGTATCATATTGGAGTGTTTGGGCCTTGGGAAGATTGGAAAGTACAGGATAGACAGTATCATATTGGAGTGTTTGGCCTTGGGAAGATTGGAAAGTACAGGATAGACAGTATCATGTTGGAGTGTTTGGGTCTTGGGAAAGTACAGGATAGACGGTATCTTATTGGAGTGTTTGGCCTTGGGAAGATTGGAAAGTACAGGATAGACAGTATCATATTGGAGTGTTTGGGCCTTGGGAAGATTAGAAAGTACAGGATAGACAGTATCATATTGGAGTGTTTGGGCCTTGGGAAGATTGGAAAGTACAGGATAGACAGTATCATATTGGAGTGTTTGGCCTTGGGAAGATTGGAAAGTACAGGATAGACAGTATCATATTGGAGTGTTTGGGCCTTGTGAAGATTGGAAAGTACAGGATAGACAGTATCATATTGGAGTGTTTGGGCCTTGGGAAGATTGGAAAGTACAGGATAGACAGTATCATATTGGAGTGTTTGGGCCTTGTGAAGATTGGAAAGTACAGGATAGACAGTATCATATTGGAGTGTTTGGGCCTTGTGAAGATTGGAAAGTACAGGATAGACAGTATCATATTGGAGTGTTTGGGCCTTGTGAAGATTGGAAAGTACAGGATAGACAGTATCATATTGGAGTGTTTGGGCCTTGTGAAGATTGGAAAGTACAGGATAGACAGTATCATATTGGAGTGTTTGGGCCTTGGGAAGATTGGAAAGTACCGGATAGACAGTATCATATTGGAGTGTTTGGGCCTTGTGAAGATTGGAAAGTACAGGATAGACAGTATCATATTGGAGTGTTTGGCCTTTGGAAGATTGGAAAGTACAGGATAGACAGTATCATGTTGGAGTGTTTGGGCCTTGTGAAGATTGGAAAGTACAGGATAGACAGTATCATATTGGAGTGTTTGGGCCTTGTGAAGATTGGAAAGTACAGGATAGACAGTATCATATTGGAGTGTTTGGGCCTTGGGAAGATTGGAAAGTACAGGATAGACAGTATCATATTGGAGTGTTTGGCCTTGGGAAGATTGGAAAGTACAGGATAGACAGTATCATGTTGGAGTGTTTGGGCCTTGGGAAGATTGGCAAGTACAGGATAGACAGTATCATATTGGAGTGTTTGGGCCTTGTGAAGATTGGAAAGTACAGGATAGACAGTATCATGTTGGAGTGTTTGGGCCTTGTGAAGATTGGCAAGTACAGGATAGACAGTATCATATTGGAGTGTTTGGGCCTTGTGAAGATTGGAAAGTACAGGATAGACAGTATCATATTGGAGTGTTTGGGCCTTGTGAAGATTGGAAAGTACAGGATAGACAGTATCATATTGGAGTGTTTGGGCCTTGGGAAGATTGGAAAGTACAGGATAGACAGTATCATATTGGAGTGTTTGGGCCTTGTGAAGATTGGAAAGTACAGGATAGACAGTATCATATTGGAGTGTTTGGGCCTTGGGAAAATTGGAAAGTACAGGATAGACAGTATCATATTGGAGTGTTTGGCCTTGGGAAGATTGGAAAGTACAGGATAGACAGTATCATGTTGGAGTGTTTGGGCCTTGGGAAGATTGGAAAGTACAGGATAGACAGTATCATATTGGAGTGTTTGGGCCTTGGGAAGATTGGAAAGTACAGGATAGACAGTATCATGTTGGAGTGTTTGGGCCTTGTGAAGATTGGAAAGTACAGGATAGACAGTATCATGTTGGAGTGTTTGGGCCTTGTGAAGATTGGAAAGTACAGGATAGACAGTATCATATTGGAGTGTTTGGGCCTTGTGAAGATTGGAAAGTACAGGATAGACAGTATCATATTGGAGTGTTTGGCCTTGGGAAGATTGGAAAGTACAGGATAGACAGTATCATGTTGGAGTGTTTGGGCCTTGTGAAGATTGGAAAGTACAGGATAGACAGTATCATATTGGAGTGTTTGGGCCTTGTGAAGATTGGAAAGTACAGGATAGACAGTATCATATTGGAGTGTTTGGGCCTTGTGAAGATTGGAAAGTACAGGATAGACAGTATCATATTGGAGTGTTTGGGCCTTGTGAAGATTGGAAAGTACAGGATAGACAGTATCATATTGGAGTGTTTGGGCCTTGTGAAGATTGGAAAGTACAGGATAGACAGTATCATGTTGGAGTGTTTGGGCCTTGGGAAGATTGGAAAGTACAGGATAGACAGTATCATGTTGGAGTGTTTGGGCCTTGTGAAGATTGGAAAGTACAGGATAGACAGTATCATATTGGAGTGTTTGGGCCTTGGGAAGATTGGAAAGTACAGGATAGTTTGTATCATATTGGAGTGTTTGGCCTTGGGAAGATTGGAAAGTACAGGATAGACAGTATCATGTTGGAGTGTTTGGGCCTTGGGAAGATTGGAAAGTACAGGATAGACAGTATCATATTGGAGTGTTTGGGCCTTGGGAAGATTGGAAAGTACAGGATAGACAGTATCATATTGGAGTGTTTGGGCCTTGGGAAGATTGGAAAGTACAGGATAGACAGTATCATATTGGAGTGTTTGGCCTTGGGAAGATTGGAAAGTACCGGATAGACAGTATCTTGTTGGAGTGTTTGGGCCTTGGGAAAGCACAGGATAGACAGTATCATATTGGAGTGTTTGGCCTTGGGAAAGTACCGGATAGACAGTATCATGTTGGAGTGTTTGGGCCTTGGGAAAGTACAGGATAGACAGTTTCATGTTGGAGTGTTTTGGCCTTGGGAAGATTGGAAAGTACAGGATAGACAGTATCTTGTTGGAGTGTTTGGCCTTGAGAAAGTACAGGATAGACAGCATCATGTTGGAGTATTTGACAAGAAATTTGGTTATGTTTTCTTGATTGACAGCCAAGTCTACCCTTCATTTTGCAAAAGAATTTAAAAAGAGCATGTTTCCAAATTAACCTTAAATAAACATTTTATATCTTTTGCCTCAAGTTATTGGCCAAAAGAATCAGTAAGAGAAAGTGACAGCCTTGATTATATAGTAATCATGGTGACGGTATCAGATATCTTACAGAAGTCTGTCGTTACATGGGATAAGAACGCATCCTTGCCCACCAAAATGCCAAAAAAAACAGGGTGACATTGTACAGACTGATCTTAGCACTAAGGTGATCGTAACTCCCATACCTTAACAGAGACTTACGACAGTCGTAGTGCTAAGGTTGTTTTGTACAACGGAACCCAACATGCTCTTTAAAGAGTATTTATTTTATTTTGTAGAAGTCCCAGACAGCCCTGAATACAGTGGACTGGGATACGTGGTTCAACGGCCAAGGAATGCCTCCAGTCATACCAGAGTAGGTCATTGGTCATCTGACCAGTCACAAGTCTTTTGGGCATTTCATAGAGCATTTGAAGATAATTGAAAAAATCCCATTTTTCCCCCTCCCCACTAAAACCCAATGGAGATTGAATGAATTGTCTGGTTGATCCAAGGGAAGTAATTAAAAAACAAATGGGAATGGTGGTTATTTCCCTTGGTCCATTTAAATCACCACTGCCATGTAGGCCGAATTAACAAAGAATGTTTTTTAGACAACAACGAACTTGGAGTAGAATTTACTTATCTTTTCTACTTAATAAGTAAGGATACTGGCAAAGAATAGAATACCATGAGACCTTGATGGCCAGGGTCCTGGAGCCACAGCATTAAAGAAACACTTCCTTGTAAAAATCATTGGCACAAAATTTTGTTTGATTGATCCAAGGGAGGTAATGCAGATGCAATGCACTCATGATTGCCTCCCCTTGGTATCACCATTCCCTGACAATGGTTGGGCTAAACGTTTGTTTGTCACTGGAAGGACATCGGTGTTATTTCTATGGACATTTTGTATTGCAGCTAATATATATTAACTTGTGGATCATCTGTTATTTCAGCTACGACACATCTTTGGCATCAGCATGCACTACATTGCGGGAGAAGTGGTGCACAGCTTCCGACTCTGATCTGTCTCAGTTCAACGCTGATGATCTCACACCCCTGTCGTCTATGCAGAGACGGGAGTTCCTGAGTCAGCTTCTCCAGCAGGTGAGCTAATGTCCAACCAGTAGCAGGTGAGCTAAGGGTAGGGATGCCAGTCAAGCCAGTAGCAGGTTAGAGGGGGAGGGATGTCAGAAAAGCCAGTAGCAGGTTAGGTAAGGGTAGGGATGTCAGTCAAGCCAGTAGCAGGTGAGGTAAGGGAAGGGATGCCAGTAAAGTCAGTAGTAGGTGAGCTAATGGTAGGGATGTCAGTGAAGTCAGTAGCAGGTTAGAGGGGGAGGGATGTCAGTCAAGCCAGTAGCTGGTGAGCTAAGGGTAGGCATGTCAGTCAAGCCAGTAGCAGGTGAGCTAAGGGTAGGCATGTCAGTCAAGCCAGTAGCAGGTGAGCTAAGGGTAGGGATGTCAGTCAAGTCAGTTGCAGGTGAGGTAAGGGAAGGGATGTCAGTCAAGCCAGTATCAGGTGAGCTAAGGGTAGGGATGTCAGTCAAGCCAATAGCAGGTGAGCTAAAGGTAGGGATGTCAGTCAAGCCAGTAACTGTTTTTATGCAGGCTGAAAGACAGTGTGGCTTTGGCACCACGTTTAGAAATATCACTACCTTAAGATTGCAGGGACAAAAAGAGGAGCTTCAAGTGGTTTGTTTATGCTTGGAATCAAACCCTTTTCTTTGTGCAAGGCAATGCTTCCACCTCCAGACCGTCAAACTGTCCTCTTTTGCATGGAAAAATACTTGGAACTAAATTGTTTACTGCCCAAGTCAGAAGTGTTACAGCTATGTCACTGTGCAGTCGATGTAGTTGAGTCAGGACTGAAAAAATACAGTGGTTGATAGCATGAGCAAAGATCCAAACTGAGAAGCATGTACACCATTTGGCTATTAAATTAGAAATTTAACATTTGAAGCCCCAAACTATGTTCATTTGGAAATTCAATATAGCATGATTAAAACTACAGGTAATCTAGCTCCATATTGAAAACACATTATGTTTATCTCCCAACTGTGTAGAAACAGGCATCACTGTTTGTGTATTCCAGCCACCTCTCTCCGTCACAAAGCTGCAGAAGATGCAGGAAGTGTATGACTTCAACAGTGTCCGCAACTCAGAAATCAGATTCAGGTGATGTATTGTTCAAAATATTAGTTGCAATATATTATGTGCATTGATGCTCTCAGATATTTTAGGGGGTGGTCAATCATATAAGGGGGGCACGGGTGGCCCAGTCGTCTAAGGCGCTGCGACTCGCTGTGCAGAGTTGCGTCCCTTGGGCATGCCAGAAACCTATGATTGTGGGTTCGAGTCCCGGCTCGCCCCGATTATGTTTCTAGGTTTGTCAGCACCATACCCGTGCTCGTGGGTTTCACTGAAGTGGTAAACGTCTGAGACCTGCATCACTTCGGGCTTTCCTCCAACATTAAGCTGACACGCCATGATATAACTGGAATAGTGTTTAAAGCGGCGTTAAACCCAACTCATTCACTCACTCAATCATCTAAGGCATCAGAATTCATTGTGTAGAGTTGTGTCCCTTATGCATTCTAGGATCCTATGATTACTGGTTCCCATATTGGCCATGATTATGATCCTTGTAGGTCAGTTTCAAGCTGTACTCATGGGTTTTTATCAAAGTGGTAAATGGCTAAGACCTGAATGGGGTAGTGGAGCTGCCCTGTGATAGGGTGGAGCTTGCTTCGTAACAGTTCATGTGAACACTTGTAAGGGCCCAGCCATTTCTATACTGGATTTAGGTGACTTTGCTTGTCGTAAGAGGCGACTAACGGGATCGATTGGTCAGGCTCACAGACTTAGTTGATGCATGTCATCGTATCCCGATTGCGTGGATTGATGCTCATGATGTCAATCACTGGATTGTCTGGTCCAGACTTATTTACAGACTGCCATCATATAGCTGGAATATTACTGAGTGCGGCATTAAACAACACACAAACAAACAAATATTATGGATTTAATATGTTTGGGGAACCACTGCAAAATTTATTTTTATTATTATTATTTTTGTAAAAAATGAAAAGTCTTCCCCCTCCCGAAGCACATTTGTACGTTTAATTTTGTATACATCTATTGGAACTATGCACCAACAGTTCCACATAATAGGCATGATTGTATCCTAATTGTAACACAGAATAATGTTGCAGTACAGTCTTTTTGAAAAAAATGATGTCTCTTTCAGATGGCTGAGGCTTGGTCTTCTGTCTCACTGGGCTGATGCCATTCCACGAGCAATTCAGTTCGTCACAGAGCAGGGGAGGATGAAGTTTGTGCGACCACTCTACAGGTAATGTGCACATTAAACCACATAGGAATTGATGGGTTGAATAAGATGAAGAATAGGTAGCAGAACTGACTCGGGATCCAGATTAGGATAAAGTGGTGACCATATTCGACTTGGCTGATTGAGTGTGATCGTGACCCGCTTGAGGGTCATCATGACCTAGCTGACAGAGGGTCATCATGACCTAAATGATTGAGTGTCATCGTGACCTGCTTGAGTGTCATCATGACCTAGCTGACAGAGGGTCATCATGACCTAAATGGTTGAGTGTCATCGTGACCTGCTTGAGGGTCATCATGACCTTAATGATTGAGTGTCATCGTGACCTGATTGAGGGTCATCTTGACATATCTGACAGAGGGTCACCATGACCTTAATGTTTGAGTGTCATCGTGACCTGCTTGAGGGTCATCATGACCTTAATGATTGAGTGTCATCGTGACCTGATTGAGGGTCATCATGACCTAGCTGACAGAGGGTCATCAAGACCTTAATGATTGGACATCATCGTGACCTGCTTGAGGGTCATCATGACCTGGCTGATTGAGGATCATCATGACCGGGCTGTTTTAGGGACATTGTGACCTGGCTGATTGAGCATTATCATGAATGGGCTGACTGGGGGTCATTGTGACCTTGCTGTTTAAGGGACATCTAGACCTGGCTGATTGAGGGTTTCCATGATGTAGCTGTTGTAGGGTCATCATGACCTGCTGACTGAGGTTATCCTTACTGGTCTGATTGAGGGTCATCATGACCTTCTTGATTGAGAGGTCATCATGACTGGGCTGTTGAGGGTCATCGTGACCTGGTTTTGTTTACTGTCTTCATGACAGGGCTGATTTTAGGGACCATGATATCATGACCTGACTGATCGAGCATCATCATGACTGGGCTGATTAAGAGTCATCATGACCTGGCTGACAGAGGGTCATCACGACCAGGCTGATTTAGGGTCATCACGACCAGGCTGATTGAGTGCCAACAGGACCTGGCTTTTTGAGGGTCATCAGGACCTGGCTTTTTGAAGGTGTGCCTTATTGTCAGGGGCGGTCAGGTATCCTAGTGGTTAAAGCGTTCCCTCATCACGCCGAAAACCCAGGTTCGATTCCCGACATGGGTACAATGTGTGAAGCCCATTTCTGGTGTCCCCTGCCGTGATATTGCTGGAATATTGCTAAAAGCGGCGTAAAACCACACTCACTCACTCACTCCTTATTGTCAGCATATCATATTTTTTCAGTCATTTCACGTATACGTATATCATGTACATTTTGTATACAGTAAGTATAACTTGTGCCCAATTCTGAACCATTTCTGTATGTACCATAAGTGAAGTTAGTGCAAATATTTGAATAGCTCAGTGATGTGTCATGTTTTTATGTTAAGTTTGATATTCCAATTATTCCTGACAAATTCAGGTTAGCTACAGAGCATTGTGGATCTATCTTTTCAGTTATACTAGTCTGCTACATGATAACAAACTTAATATGCAATAAACAATAGTGAAATGTTGTAATGGATGGGAGGTCATGTAGTGTCTGGGAAGAAGAGAATTAGGAGATTTTAATACAGTCGTGCCCCGCTTATACGGACTTCAGATATCCGGAAACCTCGGTTCCTGGACGATTTTCATTCAAAACGAAATAATTACTATATAAATTTACCCGTATATACGGAAATTCAGTTTCCGGAACCGGACGGTCATTTTCATACACAAAACACTGAAATGCACACAAAATTGTCTCACTTATCCGTACAATACACTTCCGCTGGTGGTAATCCTTCCGCTGGTGGTAATCCTTTTATTCGTGAGAAGTCAATTAACCAAGTGACATATTATTGTTTAAAATTCAAACCTCAAAATGTGGTAAAGTTCAAACTTCCATGACAGACTTTTTGAAACGTGTATGAATAAAGATTGAGTGGATGTATCTGTTTGTTCTGTCATCTGTCATGAGTTGCATAATTGAAGGGAAGTAACTCTGCCAGTAAGAAGCTGGTTTCAGTTATACGGAAATTCGTTTATACGGACGAATTGTGAAATGACGCAAGTGTCTGTATAAACGAGGCACGACTGTATGGGATATTCATCTCTTTATCACACTGATAGCCTGAGGAATTGTTTAAATATCAGCTTCAACTCATATACCGTATTCGACATAATAAGCGCCCAGGGCACTGTTAAAATTAGAAATAGGGGGCTCTTATTAGAATATTATTTTGGTGAAAAACAACAGAGTTGAAAGTTTGTAAATTTTGTGGTTTATGCTGACAGCCTGAAATGTTTATATACGACAGATATATCTTTCCAGAATTTAATTTCCCATAATTAAGAATGCATATAACACATGTATTATACACGGATAAATACCGGTAAGTCTTGAGTACATTCATCAATCAGAAGGAGTGCTGATTGGGATTTTCACAAGCCAACATATTAGCAAATATCGCTGTGAGCGCTAATTAGAGTGGAGTGCTTATTACATTGAATACGGTATATTTTGATTACTTTTCTGTAAATTCAGGTTCACAACATATGTCAATTACCTGATTGTATCAAGTGAATTCAGTAGTAATGATAAATGTATTAATATAGCAAATATCAGCCAAGACTTTAATTATTATTGCGCTGTGGGTCTTCTGGGTCAGAATAGCTTCCTGGTCCCTTATCCTTGTCATAGGATTGGTTGTTGGAACAAATGTTATATTTTGGACAATATTTTTTAGTAAAGTACAAATTCTAGTACTATTTGGGGTTAAGTCCTATCCAGGGTTGGAACTCGCACTCTCAGAGTGAGGCACCTTATGATTGTTGTTTTGTTTAAAGCTGCACCAAGCAATTTTCATATGACTACGACATATCAATAATCTAGCCTGATGTTGACGTAATTGGAGATTGTCAGTGTGTGTGACTTGGCTGAATGTGTGGCTTCCTACCCTGATGGTGTACACTATTGCGAGTGTCTTCTGTCACTGGATTGTCTGGTCCAAACTCCATTATTTACAGGCCGTCGTGATATTGTTGGAGTATTTCTGATTGACACATCAAGCAACATTCAATCAGTTAAAATTAAACATTTAAAATCGAACATTTAAAATAAGGATTAAAGTTGCTGATGCAGGTTCCGGGAGATAACCTTCAAATCAGAGGTTTCAAACAGGAATCCAGAGTTTCAAATCTCTGAATTCAACACACAGTCACTTTATTACTTTCTATGATTAATAATTCAATGTGAATTCTTTGGTCACAGTGAAACTATCCTTCTCAAAAGAAGTTAAAGAACACCCACTGTTTCATGTGACTATAGTTACTATCTGTCATTAAATCATATGAAAAAGGGGGCACGGGTGGCCCAGTCGTCTAAGGCGCCGTGATTCGCTGTGCAGAGTTGCGTCCCTTGGGCATGCCAGAAACCTTTGATTGTGGGTTCGAATCCCGGTTCACCCCGATTATGTTTCTAGGTTTGTCAGCACCATACCTGTGCTAGTGAGTTACACCGAAGTGGAAACGTCTGAGACCTGCATCACTTCAGGCTTTCCTCCCACATTAAGCTGATACTGGGTGTTCTATACCTTCTTTTGAATAGTATAAATAAGAGATTATGCATGGCTGAAGTTGGAGTTGGTTGTAAGTTCTAATTCAGGGATCAATGGGCCTTAAATATACCTTATAATTTTTTCTTTAAACACTGTAAGATGTGGAAATGAAATCGCATAAAGCAGACACTTTGTAAACATTAAACAGACAAGAGTGAGTGAGTGAGTATGGTTTTACGCCACTTTTAGCAATATCCCAGCATTATCATGGTGGGGACAACAGCAGTGGGCTTCACACATTATACCCATGTCTGGAATTGAACCCGGGTCTTCGACGTGACAAGCTAATGCTTTTACCACAAGGCTACATGACCACCCAAAACAGACAAGAGAAATTGTGTTTTCTGTCTGAACTTTATGATCACTTTGCTGATATGCTCTTTGATTGGCTATGCTGTGTTTCTTCTGAAAAATAGTTTCTTTGCAATGATGCAGGCATTAAAACAGATTATGGTCAAACATAGATTCAAATTCTAATACACGGCTTGATCATTTATCATTTGTTTGTTGTTTAACACCACACTCCAGCTACATGATGGCAGTCTGTAAACAATCGAGTCTGGACCAGACAATCCAGTGACTGACATCATGAGCATTGATAAAGACAACATCCAATAAACCAATTCAGCAAGTCTGACCACCCGATTGACTTTGCCAGGAATCCCACATGTTTGATGATCATTTATGAAAAAGTCATAAGATGAAAGCATTTATAAAAAATATCACATGAAAGAACTTCATTTCCACTTATAAACAAATCTAGGGAGCATACATTTCTACATTAAACCAGATATTTGGCTGCAATTTGTTTTCTAAAACATTTTCAGAGAAACGTTTTGTTTTCATCCTCATGATGTATGCCAATGAGACTTAAGTATTGTCATTTTCTTCATTGATATTGTGTGTGTTTAAATGTCAAATGAAAACCATTCATAATAATGACTCATGAGACTTCTAATTGTTTCGTATTGGAGCCATTATCCCCATGTGTTTAGTTTACAGGGATGGAATTTAACTCCATGTCAAAAACCAAGCTCAGCAAAAGGTTACGAGTCCTTGTGAAAAAAGAAAATACTCAAATGTGAATCTTTGATGTGCCATTAATTCTTTCAAATATAAGACTTAGTCAGAATATATGGATCAGGTGTACACAGGAATTATTCATAAGGATAAAGACTCAACAGGATTTGTCGAATGTCAATTGCCAGGATTTGATAGCAGGTATCGAGAGGCAGACAGAAAATCTACAACATTTGTCATATTACTGACAGGCCCCACGGGCTATAAGAATTATAATTTTCTTAACCTGAGGTAATTTCTACTAGCCTTGGGCCTATGGACGAGCATTAATTCTTAGATAGCCAGATTCTTAGATAATGATATTATAGTTACCGTATTTTCTTGAGTAAAGTGCGCACTTTTTTTCCAAAAAACAAAGCTGTGTGGAAGGGGGTGCGCATTATACACGAATTATGAGTTTGGATGTTTTTTTCCCCCATGGAAAGACATTACTGTGAGCACGAAACACCGGAAATACCATGTCAACAAATCCATAATGAAGTACACAAAATTACACTGTCTGGCTATAAAAAGAGTTCTTTGTATATCTGGACTTATGTTTGTAACGTATATCATTAATTTTATTCAAAATTCCTTTTAATATTGTTTTTATTAATTTCGGCGTAATCGTGTGTGAAGCGATCGGAAGATCGCACAACTCACCGTTATTAACAGCAACCACGGTCAGAATACCGCTATTGACGCCTTGAAACGAACTTTAGTTGACAGAGAATGGATACATATATCATAAATGACATACTTTGACTCGGTAATATTACTCAAAACAAGTTAAGGACCACACGATTCTTTCATATTACTATAGTTGATCGGTCATGGCAGAACAGGTTAACTATAGTTATATGAAAGAATTGGGTGGTCCCTGACTTTTTGTGCGTAGTATAAACCTAGTTCTAAGTACTTAGTAAAATCCTGTTTGTGTTTATAGCCTTGGCTGTGTTTCAGATCAGTCAGCATAAAACTACAAGAGTTATTTCTGAATATATGAGTGAAATGTACATCCTTTTCCAGAGACATGTATGCATGGGAAGAAGCAAGACAGCCTGCTATCGACAACTTCCTGGCTGTCAAAGACGAAATGCACAACACCACAGCTGGTCTCATTGAGAAGGAACTCCACCTGAAATAGACTGTCAGTTCACAATCAGATGGTCATTTTACACAGGGATAAGTTCACTTAAATGAAGACCATAGCAAGAAAATCACAGCACATGAAATGGATCATATCTGTCACGTGATTGATTTTACAGGTGCTTCATCATTGAGACAGTGACCATGTTATTTGTTGATGGAATGCCGTAATTAAGTAATTCAATCTTATAGTGTTACTGTTATACTTCAAAGATTATGTTAGATCAAAAATATTATTTTAGTTTTTGTTTAATTAACACCAGCAGTGATCAAAGCAAGCCTATACTTAATCAAAGGTTATTATGTCATTAAGAATATGAAATTAGTCTTAGGACGGCATCATATTTCCGATCCCATCCCATTTTATGTTACATTATTCCAGAATAATAGCTTTTTACCATTTCTTGTCACTTTTGAAATCAAAGATCAAAGTGATTTGTAGAATTCTAATTCCTATTCTACATATTGACATTCTAATCCAGTGTATGCTTATCAGCAATAAAGAAGATGATAGTCATGTTTTTTCTTGAGTAGCTCATCCAATTTATGTTCTTGTTTCAAAGGAACAATAAGTCCAGACCTTTTCTGGGTTTGAAATGAAAGAAAACAGGATGGTCAATTATCTCATTGTTGAATAATTTTCAAACTATTTTACATGTACCACATGCAAGAACTATTTGTTTATAAGAGTTTATTTGAAATAAATTATTTTGAATTACTGAAAATACTTTGGTTTTGTGTTGGTGAATTTAGTTTTTGGACTTGCTCACACCGACAGCTTGACTTGTTGCTCATACTTTCAACCACTGGTTTGCTGGGACAGAGATATTTTATTAAAGTGTCACACACATATAAATGTGTCTGGCCAGATTTGGCCTATGAGACACTACAATTCAATAAATGTCTGTTAAAATATAGTTTAAGATGGTTTAAAATATATAAAGGTAACAATGACAATTATCTATCATGTATGCTGAAAGGGTGTGAAATTGTTAATAAAAAGTTAGTAATGTACAAAATTATATATAAGCAAGTGTCGACCTTCGTGGGTCGAACGTTTGATAGGGATAATCAGATGTGTCGCTCTGTTGCCATATACACTTGACATTGGAGAATCTGTTTTGTGTATCACGGAAAGATATCCCTATCAATACTGGAGTGGTATATTTTTCTGAATGCAGGGTGAGCAATAGACAACATTCACTCCCTGAGTCAGAGTATTATCCCCATGTAATGTACAGATATAGTAACAAGCAAACACAGATGACTTTAATGTTTTGTTGATCTGGTGGGTTCTGTAAACACTTGTTTCAAGCTGTGGAAATACTATACTTTGGAGTTTCACATGGCTGGGCGGACCATACAAAGTACACAGAAACAGAAGTGTATTATTCATGCCTGTGCTGGGGTCAGCGTTGTGTTAAACAATTAACTTTCACTGGTACACATCTACATTACTAAGAGTGAGTGAGTCACTTTTACGCAAATTTCAGAAATTACAAAGTAAGGAAGACAGTAATGGTTTGGAAAATGTCATTCGTGACCAACTCGTGGTATTCCGGTACAAGCCGAATAACGACTCGTGCCCTTCTCGTGACAATTTTTGTGACCGGGTTCCGTCTTAGCGCAAACGGGCATACCTAAAACAATTGTCAACTCGTTGTGTAATGGTTCAGGTTTTATTTCCCCATATATTATATATATTTCAGATGCAATTTAAAGCACATCGGGACATGCGGAATTATACAGTATGACTGAACACATTTAACTGTGTCTTGGGTATATTTTTAGATGCAAGACATATGTAATATCAAAAATTATTTCTGAGGGATTCTTTGACGAAGAACTTGAAATCATACGCGCATTCTGATTGGTTTGTCGTATTTTCGCACATAACATTCATCGATAGGGGGACGAGTCTTCTTGCAGGTTACGGAAAGGGGCGAGTAGTGACGAATGGGAAAATGTGTGGCAGGTGCCGCACTCGGCAATATATTACGGTGGTCTGTTAATAATCGAGTCTGAACCAGACAATCCAGTGATACATCAACCAAGCTAGCCTGACCACCCGATCCCCTTGGTCGCCTCTTCCGACCTGCACTGTCGCCTGCTACGGCAAGCGTGGGTTGCTGAAGACCCATTCTTGACTGTAACTGTGGACAATCCTACGTAGGTGAAACATCCCGCCTCATCAACACCAGAGTCAAAGAGCACAAAATTTCAACCATCAACTCAGACAGCAAATCAGCCATCTCGGACCATATCACCAACTGTCCCAATCACAACTTCAACTGGGATAACGCAAATCCTCTCCAACAACCTCCATGACTTCATTGAAAGAAAACTAACAGAAGCAGTCCACATTCGCCGCCAGAAGCCATCAATCAACAGAGATCAAGGCTGTTTCATCCCATCCGCCTACAATGAACTCAAGCAATAATGATAGTTACCCCACCTGTATACCATGGTATACTTATCCTGTTTAATTGGCTTCCTGTATTTTTGGCTTCCCCATCATGTGTTCTCGTCCATCATGTCGTTACAGTATTATCCTTCTGTAGTCATTACTTAACCTACTCATGTTAATCTCCCTCATGTATGCAGTTGCTGTTGCTGCTAATCCTCTACCTACTATATATATTCTGTGTCATGTTCATCATCAGTCTTAAGAAATGCAGTTAGATCCGCTATCTGTCATAGATCTCCTAAAGCGAAGAGATGCAATAGCGAAGGCCAAACTAACTCTTTTTCTGAGAGATGGACAGCTGCTCGAACGTATATAAACAGAGCAGCCAAAGATGAAATTATATCAATATACGTAAATAGAAATTATATCACTACAAAAACAGAAATTATGTGAATTCCAAACTCACAATAGATATGTGTACCCTAGTCACACACAGGAGTCCCAAAGAGGGACAGGTCAGCCGAAATTGCTTAGGCAGAAGGCGACCTGTTATACACTTAAAGCAACAACATCATCATCAATCTTGCTTGACAACGGTATTAGGATCTATACCAAAACATCGCCTTTACAGTAATTAAAGTAGTTGTTATCCATAAATTGTGTCTACTTTGTCATCCGTCAGTGCTTTTCAAACAATTTATTCCAACCCGGATCTTCACAGGTACAGTGACTCATTGAATGAGATTGGTTTCGTAATTGTAAAATAAAACATACTTGTATATAAAGGACTTGAGAGTGTAGAATATTTCTACATCTGAATATACACGAAGCCAAAGAAGTGCAGGGCGGATCCGGCTGATGGGGGATGATGGTTGAGGTGTGTGACCTTAGACAACTTCCATGTTAACTGCGCCCTCAACCAAGTCATGAAAATCCGGATCCGCCTCTGGTTCAGGCACGATCTCACTGACCTTCACCTTGATCTCCATCTGACCTTCACCTATTGTTATTCATTCATGACGAAGATGGAAGCAGACTAATTCTATATAGGTATCTTTTCGAACCTAATCACTTTACATCGTCATCTTTGCTTCAGGGTATAATTTGACAGCAAGGTACACATAACCTAAACTCCATCACTCATATCGAGACTCGTCAGTCCGTGCTGTCCATACACCAAGACAGACACATGAGACACAAGACAAGCGTGGAGGACCACGCTATGAGGGCCCCAGTAGACATAGCCTTGGGTGCTGGTGGAATCTATCGGGGTTAAGTACGACCTATAGTTCTACGTTGGCGTGTACAAACCGTGTCTCTGTTTATAGCCTGGTGTCTGGTGGCACGTGTCGATTCTGTCTGGACAGTTGTCAGCCCAGTAACTGACAGCTGCCAATTAATCATGTCTCGCTGTCCTATTAAAACAAGGACGTCTGTTGGTGCCGACACTTGTTTGCTTTCTTTGTCTGGTGCAAGGACAGATGGGGATGGGGATGGACATAGTGTAAATAAAAGGGACAAGACCATTTCCATAATCATAAGAAATCTCTGCCAAACGCAGAGTCCATTATATGATTCCGGTTATATCATTAGCATATGTTTGTTAATCACTATCAAATAGTGTTTGTTTGTTTGTTGTTTAACGCCGCACTCAGCAATTGGGATACGATGACCTGCATCAACCAAGTCATGAACCACCCGATCCCGTTAGTCGCCTCTTACGACAAGTATAGTCGCCTTTTACGGCAAGCATGGGTTGATGATGACCTATTCTACCCCGGATCTGCAAAAATCAAATTAACTTGCTAGGCATGAGATTATCAAACATAAGGATGTCATTATTTCACACAGTCATCATGGTTTGTGGTGCGGGGCGGTCGGGTAGCCTAGTGGTTAAAGCGTTCGCTCGTCACGCCGAAGACCCGGGTTCGATTCCCGACATGGGTACAATTTGTGAAGCCTATTTCTGGTGTCCCCCGCCGTGATATTGCTAGAATATTGCTAAAAGCGGCGTAAAATCAAACTCACTCACTCACTCACTCACTCACTCACTCACTCACTCACTCACTCACTCACTCACTCACTCACTCACTCACTCACTCACTCACTCACTCACTCACTCACTCACTCACTCACTCACTCACTCACTCACTCACTCACTCACTCACTCACTCACTCACTCACTCACTCACTCACTCACTCACTCACTCACTCACTCACTCACTCACTCACTCACTCACTCACTCACTCACTCACTCACTCACTCACTCACTCACTCACTCACTCACTCACTCACTCACTCACTCACTCACTCTCACTCACGGTTTGTGTGGCGAGTAAATATTTACTTCTGAAATAGTGTTCTTGTCCTTCCGAGTTAAAGATGAATATGCGCATCCATTGTGTGCCTGTGTGTTATAACAGCATGGCGGTATCCATGGGCAATGGAGAATGGATATTGCTCTAGACATGATGTTGATTTCTAACTGTTTGTTTGTTTGTTGTTTAACGCCGCACTAAGCAATATTCCAGCTATTGACGGCTGCTTGAAACTAATCGAGTCTGGACTAGACAAACCAGTGATTGACATCATGTACATCGACCCAAGCAATTGGGATACGATGACCTGCATCAACCAAGTCAGCGAGCTTTACAAATCCCCGAGATTGTAAATAACATTGATAGGTATGCGGTATTTAACTATATTAAGTGTCTACCCAGACTGGATACAACTGGTCACTTTATAAACATAGCAAATCAATCCGGATTTTAAGAAGCTGACAAGATTCCGGTTTAATCAATATTTACCAAAGCTGGGTTTTTTTGCATCTCCTTTTTACTTTTTTCAATTACTACAGTGCCATCCACATACAATAAAACAAACTTTTTAAACAAAATACTCCTCGTTTCCAAGGAATCATCCCCACTCTCCGCGTCCGTTGATCATGCCGTTCTTCACCATCATGAGATCCTCAGCACCAATTATGTTTGGTTTCTTTGATTACAACCAACAGAAAAGTGTTCAATTCGTCCCCTGCTGAATCTTTTAAACTGTTTTGAAGGAACATAAACAGTGTGAAGATAGGTAGTTTTGTTGGATGTTGCAATCGACGAGGACCAGATTTTCAATCCGGGGCCCAACCCCGAGCCACGTCTAGACGTTGCAATTAGTACCATGTGTGGAATTAAGACACTGTCTGTGTTTATTGGGATAACCAGTTCTTGCCAGACCTGCTTGGACAATGAAACTAGAGTCAGCGAGGAGGTTGTTTTGTTTGAATGTTTCGGTTCAATACTACTGGGACTGCAGCAATGGTG